ACTGTAGAAAAGTAAATATCTCAAAATGTAGTTTGATGCTCCATTCATGATATATGAGCCAAACAAAGTGTGTTGGTTTAAAAAATCCCAGTAGTTTAGATTAGGTGCTTATAAATCAGATTGTACAATTAACTGTCAATTATATCTAAGTCTTATGCTAAATGTATGATAAATGAGCTGAACAATGTGCAAATATTGTATGCAGACTTTGATCTTGAGATCCTGAATTCAGTAAATCAAAGCTCTAGTAACACGCGTATGTTTTAGTTTTATTTTGCATACAAGTACAAACAAACAAACGACAACAACAAATCAATGAATTGTCAATGTTGGGGAAGCTACTCTGAAAATATAGTTTACCAAGCTACCAATGACTACACTGGAGCCAGTGATGTGGCATTCTAGTCATTAAAATCCAAACAGTCCCCAAGCTAGCTAGCTATTCTTCATTCAAAATGACCAATTAATGAATCATTCTGAATAAGCAGTCAAAGAACAAAAAGCTGATACAAAATGGCAATACAAAAAACACTTAAAATCAATGAAATATGAATACATGTATATAAAAAAAAAAGAAGAAGAACTGGAGCGATCAGCCTCTGATCACCAGTCCTCTGCTTTGTTGGGTTTTTTAGATACACCAGAAGATAGCCATATAAGAGCCAACGTAAGCTAAAATCTCATCTAAAATTTTACAACCTGTAATTTAAATGTGTTTTTATTTGGATTTCATGTAATGGACATACACAAAATAGTCCAAATTGGTGAAGTGAAATGAAAAAAATAACTTGTTTAAAAAAATTCTAAGAAATAAATAACGGAGAAGTGGTGTGTGCATATGTATTCACCCCCTTTGCTATGAAGCCCCTAAATAAGATCTGGTGCAACCAATTACCTTCAGAAGTCACATAATTAGTTAAATAAAGTCCACCTGTGTGCAATCTAAGTGTCACATGATCTCAATATATATACACCTGTTCTGAAAGGCCCCAGAGTCTGCAACACTACTAAGCAAGGGGCACCACCAAGCAAGCGGCATCATGAAGACCAAGGCGCTCTCCGAACAGGTCAGGGACAAAGTTATGGAGAAGTACAGTTCAGGGTTGGGTATATAAAAAAATCAGAAACTTTGAACATCCCACAGAGCACCATTAAATCCATTATTAAAAAATTGAAAGAATATGACACCACAACAAACCTGCCAAGAGGGCAGCCCACCAAAACTCACGGACCAGGCAAGGATGGCATTAATCAGAGAGGCAACAAAGAGACCAAAGATAACCCTGAAGGAGCTGCAAAGCTCCACAGCGGAGATTGGAGTATCTGTCCATAGGACCACTTTAAGCCGTACACTCCACAGAGCTGGGCTTTACTGAAGAGTGGGCAGAAAAAAGCCATTGCTTAAAGAAAAAAATAAGCAAACACATTTGGTGTTCGCCAAAAGGCATGTGGGAGACTCCCCAAACATATGGAAGAAGGTACTCTGGTCAGATGAGACTAAAATTGAGCTTTTTGGCCATCAAGGAAAACGCTATGTCTAGCGCAAACCCAACACCTCTCATCACCCCGAGAACACCATCCCCACAGTGAAGCATGGTGGTGGCAGCATCATGCTGTGGGGATGTTTTTCATCGGCAGGGACTGGGAAACTGGTCAGAATGGAAGGAATGATGGATGGCGCTAAATACAGGGAAATTCTTGAGGGAAACCTGTTTCAGTCTTCCAAATATTTGAGACTGGGACGGAGGTTCACCTTCCAGCAGGACAATGACCCTAAGCATAATGTTAAAGCAACACTCGAGTGGTTTAAGGGGAAACAATGTCTTGGAATGGCCTAGTCAAAGCCCAGACCTCAATCCAATTGAGAATCTGTGGTATGACTTATAGATTGCTGTACACCAGCGGAACCCATCCAACTTGAAGGAGCTGGAGCAGTTTTGCCTTGAATAATGGGCAAAAGTCCCAGTGGCTAGATGTGCCAGAGACTTGCAGCTGTAATTGCTGAAAAAGGTGGCTCTACAAAGTATAGACTTTGGGGGGGGGGGTGAAAAGTTATGCATGCTCAAGTTCTGTTTTTTTGTCTTATTTCTTGTTTGTTTCACAATAAAAAATATTTTGCATCTTCAAAGTGGTAGGCATGTTGTGTAAATCAAATGATACAACCCCCCCAAAAAATCCATTTTAATTCCAGGTTGTAAGGCAACAAAATAGGAAAAATGCCAAGGGGTGGCAAGAACAGCTCAAATAAGCAAAGAGAAATGACAGTCCATCATTACTTTAAGACATGAAGGTCAGTCAATACGGAACATTTCAAGAACTTTGAAAGTTTCTTCAAGTGCAGTCGCAAAAACCATCAAGCGGTATGTTGAAACTGGCTCTCATGAGGACCATCACAGGGAGGGAAGACCCAGAGTTACCTCTGCTGCAGAGGATAAGTTCAATAGAGTTAACAGCCTCAGAAATTGCAGTCCAAATAAATGCTTTGCAGATTTCAAGTCACAGACACATCTCAACATCAACTGTTCAGAGGGGACTGTGTGAATCAGGCCTTCATGATCTAATTGCTGCAAAGAAACCACTACTAAAGGACACCAATAAGAAGAAGAGACCTGCTTGGGCCAAGAAATACGAGCAATGTACATTAGACCGGTGGAAATGTGTCCTTTAGTCTGGAGTCCAGATTGGAGATTTTTGGTTCCAACTGCCGTGTCTTTGTGAGAAGTGGTGTGGGAGAACGGATAATCTCTGCATGTGTATTTCCCACCGTAAAGCATGGAGGAGGAGGTGTTATGGTGTGGGGGTGCTTTGCTGGTGACACTGTCTGTGATTGATTTAGAATTCAAGGCACACTTAACCAGCATGGCTACCACAGCATTCTGCAGCGAGACGCCATCCCATCTGGTTTGGGCTTAGTGGGATTATCATTTGTTTTTCAATAGGACAATGACCTAACACACCTCCAGGCTGTGTAAGGGCTATTTGACCAAGAAGGAGAGTGATGGAGTGCTGCATTAGATGACCTGGCCTCCACAATCCCCCGACCTCAACCAAATTGAGATGGTTTGGGATGAGTCGGACCGCAGAGTGAAGGAAAAGCAGCCAACAAGTGCTCAGCGTATGTGGGAACTCCTTCAAGACTGTTGGAAAAGCATTCCAGGTGAAGCTGGTTGAGAGAATGCCAAGAGTGTGCAAAGCTGTCATCAAGGCAAAGGGTGGCTATTTGAAGAATCTCAAATATAAAATATATTTTGATTTGTTTAACACTTTTTTGGTTACTTCATGATTCCATATGTGTTATTTCATAGTTTTGATGTCTTCTCTATTATTCTACAATGTAGAAAATTGTAAAAATAAAGAAAAGCCCTGGAATGAGTAGGTGTGTCCAAATCTTTGACTCGTACTGTACATAGACTTGAAATCACTGGCCACTTTAATAATGGAACACTAGTCACTTTAATAATGTTTACATATGTTTGCTTTACTCATCTCATATGTATATACTGTATTCTATTCTACTGTATTTTAGTCTATGCCATTCCCGACATTGTTCGACCTAATATTTATATATTTCTTAATTCCATTATTTTACTTTTAGATTCGTGTGTATTGTTGTGAATTGTTAGATATTACTGCACCGTTGGAGCTAGAAACACAAGCATTTTGCTACACCCGCAACAACATCTGCTAAACAAGTGTATGTGACCAATAACATTTGATTTGATGTTAATGGCAGGTTTAAACAGGGCTTCTAATTGTTTTCTTGTCATTTAATTTAATTTGTATTAACGTTTGTGGCCAGTGCTTCCTTGTAAAACACATTACTATGTCAATGGAACTCAGATCCAATGGTTAAATGAAACCATATAAGATACAAAATTACACACAAGTATTGTATACATAAATAATAAGCTTGCAAAGTCTGTATCATGGGTTCAATTGCCGCTGGGGCCACCCATACGAAAATGTAAGCGTGCAGTACTGTGGCTTTCTATTAAAGCTGCAATATGTCATGTTTTTGGCGACCCCGACCAAATTCACTTAGAAATGTGAGTTATAGATCTGTCATTCTCATTGAAAGCAAGTATAAGAAGTGGTAGATCTGTTCTATGTGCTCTACGTCTATGCTTCCTGTTCTTAAGTTTGACTTTTACTTTCGGTTTTGTACACCAGCTTCAAACCGCTGAAAATACAATCTTTTTGGTTATGGAAAATATATATTCACCGCGGTTTAGATGGTACAATGATTCTCTACACAATGAATGTTTGTTTTGTCACATAAACTGAAATTAGGCAACCAGGATGGAAATGGCAGAGTGATTTCTTCTGCATATTGCACCTTTAAAGGTTTTGCTAAATGGCATACAGTATATGATTATATATTATTGCTATAGAAACATGTCAACATATTACACAGTATGCCTATGACGTTAATCATAGTGAGCTTTATTCAGCCTTCTGCACAAAATCAGTGATCAGATAATCTACGATAATTGACGATAATGTACGTTTCTGTCCTCCACTCTACAAATATCAACATAATTATTTTTTTTATTGTCACAATAAAAAATGTACATTTAAAATCAGCTTTGACCACAGTCGTACCTTAGCAACCTAACGTCTGATTCTGCTGTGCGGTTTACCACTAGGTTTATAGGATTCTACAACAAATCTCAAACAAGTCTTTAGCAAGAGCCCAATAGAGTTTCACTATAGTACACAAAATGTGACAAAATAACCTATAACATAAGGTAAAATGATGTAGGCAATGTGTAAAGTCAATGAAATAGCAAGCAGACACAGCTATTCCAACTGTGACCGTGACAATGATGAGGTGACTAAGTATAGAATATAATAGTATAGACTAGAAAACAACAGAATACCATACAGCACACACGTAAACATGAGAGTAGAGACACCTGGCACACTGTGCTGTGTCAGTCTGGTCGCAGACTAAGGAATAATGATGTATCCCATAATATTACAGATATAGTTACATATCATATGGAGCAGCAGGGGGGTAGAGACATTAGTCTGTCCCTGGCACACTGTGCTGTCAGTCTGGCGTCTGAGTCATGGTCCCAACAGTCCAACAGAACGTCACGCAAACCCTGCAACAGACAACACATTTTAATCAGTTTCCTAAAAACACAGTGTAACGTGCTTCACCTAATTGTGATTATTTCTAGGTGGTCTTAGTGCTAAAAGATGATCTTTATGTTTTTGGGGAAAGTCACACCAGGACAGACAGTCATCACCTCTAATACTTTATACCACAATAGTAGTTAGAAAGTAATAACCGGGGAATTATGTGTTTGTTTACTGTCTTCTAGTAACTCAGTCAGGTCAGACAGGTTACCCCTCTAATACTTGAAACTGAATAGTTCCTGGAGAAATAGCCGACCTTTTCCCAGTGTTTGGGTACTGAAGGACGTTCCCTTCTCTCAGACACATGGATGATAAGCTGCTCTAAAGAAGGACTGGCCCCTAGCTCTTCTTCATACGGCAGTCTGTGATCTGACACCAGGCAGCCTGCAGAGGGAGACAGAGACAGAGATTTGAGTTAGGGTTATGGTTATGGTTTGGGTTGGCAAGGTAACTCTTCATAAGATAGTCTGTGATCTGACACCGTGCAGCCTGCAGGGGGCCACAGACAGAGGTTAGGGTTATGGTTTGGGTTAGGGATGTAACTCTACATAAGGTAGTCTGTGTTCTGGCACTGGGCAGCCTGCAGGGGGAGACACAGGCAGGGGGTTAGTGTAGTCTCCCACTGACAAACATTTGTGGGCAGTGCACTTCGCAAGCGAGGCTAGGTTAGCCGTAGGGTAACCCAATGGTTATGATGAACACTGAGAACTCTTAAGAGACTGAATTATCTCAGAACCAATTCTCACATTTACATTTTACATTTTAGTCATTTAGCAGACGCTCTTATCCAGAGCGACTTACATGAGCAATTAGGGTTAAGTGCCTTGCTTAAGGGCACATCGACAGATTTTTGACCTAGTCGGCTCAGGGATTAGAACCAGCGACCTTTCGGTTACTGGCACAACTCTATGCGCTGGCTAGCCAACAGTGAAACCTAAGTAACTAACTAACTACAACGGAAGAGATGTCATAGTCCCAAAAGTGGAAACACAGCCCACCTGGCACTCCAGGGAGGCTCAAGCAAACGCTCAAGAAATATTTCAAATACTATTTGAACCCCGGTTTGATATGTAGCCTACCTGTAAAGAGGTCTGAGCAGCGCATCAACATCTCCCAGAGCAGCATTCCTAAGGCGTAGACGTCTCCCTGTATGAGACACCAGCCGCTGGTCAGGTTCACGCAGCCATCCAGGAGCTCAGGGGCCATGTAGCACAACGTCCCCACCTGGACCCTGCCCTATAGATGGAGAGGAGAAAGGCTGAACTAAACTGAACAACAACAACATGATGAATGATCTACTACAACAACAACAACATGATGTATGATCTACTACTACAACAACAACAACAACAACATGATGTATGATCTACTACAACAACAACATGATGTATGATCTACTACAACAACAACAACATGATGTATGATCTACTACAACAACAACATCATTTTCAACATCAACAACAACATGATGTATGATCTACAACAACAACAACAACGACATGGTGTATGATCTACTACAACAACAACATGATGTATGATCTACAACAACAACAACAACGACATGGTGTATGATCTACTACAACAACAACAACATGATGTATGATCTACTACAACAACAACAACATGATGTATGATCTACTACAACAACAATAACAACAACAACATGATGTATGATCAACAACAACAACAACAACGTGATCATCTCGCTGCCTGGACACTGGCCTATAGAGAGTAGAAACAGCAGTTGCCTATCAAAAACATGGTTGTTGATGTCACTATTAAAATGAGAGGCTTGTGGCCTGGTTGGTGAAGCTGTTAGGGCCGCAGCCTCCAGCACACATACCAGCACTGGTTTGATAGATTCTACCTCTATCCGTCCTATCTCTGTCACTCTCTCTATATGTTCAATAAACTGAGAAAGATACAAAAGGACTAGAAGGGAGTTGGGGTTGGGGGGGAAGACAGGCCCACCTGTATGTTGCCCATGTAGCGCTGCCAGCTCTGTGGACCGGAGCATGAGCGCAGGATGGTGGAACAGCCAAAGTCACACAGGGCACAGGTACCATCCTCCCTCACTAATACGTTGTTACTGCTGAGATCTCTATGGGCCACCGCTGGCTTGTGCACCCCTGAGAACACAAACACAGACATCAGTCACACACAGACTTTCAAGGTTTTACTGCTAACCTACAAAGCGTTACATGGGCTTGCTCCTAACTATGATGATGGTGATGGCCCATACATACCATGCCTGTAGAAATCTGAATGGAGATAAGCCAGTCCCTCAGACAGAGACAGGGCCAGGTTCAGCGTTGTCGTCCAGTCACTGGTGTTCCTGGACAGGAAGGAGCTGAGAGAGCCCTGGATAGAAAGACATGTCAGCATTTTTCCTTATGTCATGGTCATGTGGTTATCTAGTTAAATGACAGTAACATACATCAGTATTAAAAACAAAAAAACAAACATGAAGCCTGTTATGTCTACTTTGGACAGTAAGCAGAATGTTTGAGTATGTACGTCAAAGCGAGCTAGAGAATCAGATAATTACTATGGTAACACTACGTATTAAAGCATGCCGGGATAAGGCTTTATAATAAGCATGTATGAACCTGTATGTCTCTCTGTGTAAACAGTGGTACTCACGCATGAGGCAAGTTCCAGGACCACCACACACTCTCCGCTATCTGACTTCCTGCCGGCTCCCAGGAAGTGAGCAATCCCAGAATTCACCAGATGTGGTAGTCCGTACACTTCCCTCTCCGCCGTGAACTCCCGTCTGCACCAGGAAGGGAAAACCTTCACAGCCACCGTATTCCCTTGGTAGCTGCCCTGCCACACCGACGCAGAGTGACCACGACCCACAATCTGAAATATCAATCAATCAATCAATCAATCTGAAATGTGCCGGGAAGAGAAGAGGTTCACAGAATGAAATATGTAAGAGTAAATCCTTTCCTGCTGCAGTTCCATGCTGGTCAGGTCAATATCAGACTGCCTTGATATGTGGCATGAGCACAGTGAGGTCAGAGATACCTCTGGCAAAGATAGATGCTGCTTCTCTTCTAAGAGACGAGTGGAGAGAATTCATGTTAAGCCATTTACTGTTAATGCATGGGTGTATCCTAACTTAGCATATAGTCACATTTCCACTTACTCTCCCATTGACATCAATGTATAACTAAGTAAACGTTTGATTCATGAGGAGGTTAGGATTCACCCTATGGTGAAATACAGTATAAACAAATAACTCATAACATTTTAGACAATGTGACAAACTGATACTGTGTTGCATTAGTGTTGGGGCGGGCAGGTGGTCAGCCAGTCAGCCAGCCAGTTAGCCAGTCAGCCAGCCAGCCAGTCAGCCAGCCAGTCAGCCAGTCAGCCAGTCAGCCAGCCAGCCAGCCAGCCAGCCAGCCAGTTAGCCAGTCAGCCAGCCAGCCAGCCAGTCAGCCAGCCAGCCAGTCAGCCAGTCAGTCAGTCAGCCAGCCAGTCAGCCAGCCAGCCAGTCAGTCAGTCAGCCAGTCAGTCAGCCAGCCAGTCAGTCAACCAGTCAGCCAGTCAGTCAGTCAGTCAGTCAGTCAGTGGGAATTTCAGGAATGACTCAAAAGGAAAGGAAGATAAGAAATCACGAGATTGAAAAAAGAAATGAAAGACGGGAGTGAAAGTGGTCGGAGGAAAACCAAGGTCAGTGAACAACAGAGGACAGGAGGTATGAGGGAGGGAGGAGGAGGAGGAGGAGGAGGAGGGGGAGGAGGAGGAGGAGGAGGAGGAGGAGGAGGAGGAGAATCCAGTTAGTCATAGGTCTACAATGAAAACCACAAAGAATAGAACATGTAAGTAAAGAGAAATAACTATTTATATAGAGGTTTAAAATCAGTAGGTCAATGGAATCATTCATAATATTCATCTCAATGTAATTTCGGCACCCAGAACCAAATCTCACATAGACTCTTTAATTAACTCTTGATAATCCCCACCACCAAGGACGTTTTATCCAACTCTAATGGCAGTCTAAAACAGAGGACTCTTCTTGTGTGTCTTGCACCTGTTAGTAGCCAGAGATTATCTATATCTACTATATATATATATATATATATATATATATATATATATATATATATATATATATATATATATATATATATATATTTAATATACTTATGAGAATTACAAGGGATATATTTAATGAGTCGAATTTTATAGAATCTACACTGAACAAAAATATAAAGCAACAATTTCAAAGATTTTACTGAGTTACAGTTCATATAAGGAAATCAGTCAATTGAAATAAATTCATTAGGCCTTAATTTATGGATTTCACATGACTGGGAATAAAGATATGCATCTGTTGGTCACAGATACAGTACCTTAAAAAAAAAAAAAGGTAGGTGGATCAGAAAACCAGTCAGTATCTGGTGTGACCACCATTTGCCTCATGCAGCACTACATATGCCATAGGGCGGCGCACAATTGGCCCAGCGTCGTCCGGGTTTGGCCAGGGGTGGGCCGTCATTGTAAATAAGAATTTGTTCTTAACTGACTTGCCTAGTTAAATAAAGGTTAAATAAATAAATACAATATCTCCTTCACATAGAGTGGATCAGGCTGTTGATTGTGGCCTGCGTAATGTTCTCCCACTCCTCTTCAATGGCTGTGAGAAGTTGCTGGATATTGGCGGGAACTGGAACACGTTGATCCAGAGCTTGTTTGGGAAGCTCGATCCAGAACTTCCCAAACATGCTCATTGGGTGACATGTATGGTGAGTATGCAGGCATGAAAGAACTGGGACATTTTCAGCTTCCAGGAATTGTGTACAGATCCTTGTGACATGGGGCTGTGCATTATCAAGCTGAAACATGAGATGATGGCGGCGGATGAATGGCACGACAATGGGCCTCAGGATCTCATCACGATATCTCTGTGCATTCACATTTCCAGCGATAAAATGCAATTGTGTTCGTTGTCCGTAGCTTATGCCTGCCTATACCATAACCCCACCGCCACCATGGGGCACTCTGTTCACAACGTTGACATCAGAAAACCGCTCGTCCACATGACGCCATACACGCTGTCTGCCCGGTACAGATGAACCCAGGATTCATCCGTTAAGAGCACACTTCACCAGTGTGCCAGTGGCCATCGAAGGTGAGCATTTGCCGACTGAAGTTCGTTATGATGCCGAACTGCAGTCAGGTCAAGACCTTGGTGAGGACGACGAGCACGCAGATGAGCTTCCCTGAGACGGTTTCTGACAGCTTGTGCAGAAATTATTCGGTTATGCAAACCCACAGTTTCATCAGTTGTCCAGGGGGGCTGGTCTCAGATGATCCCGCAGGTGAAGAAGCCAGTTGTGGAGGTCCTGGGCTGGCGTGGTTACACGTGGTCTGCGGTTGTGAGGCCGGTTGGACATACTGCCAAATTCTCTAAAACAATGTTGTAGGCGGCTTATGGTAGAGAAATGAACATTAAATTCTCTGGCAACAGCTCTGGTGGACATTCCTGCAGTCAGCATGCCAATTGCACGCTCCCTCAAAACTTGAGACATCTGTGGCATTGTGTTGTGTGACAAAACTGCACATTTTAGAGTAGCCTTTTATTGTCTCTGCACAAGGTGCACCTGTGTAATGATCATGCTGTTTAATCAGCTTCTTGATATGCCACACCTGTCAGGTGGATGGATTATCTTGGCAAAGGAGAAATGCTCACTGACAGGGATGTATACAAATTTGGGCACAAAATTTGAGAGAAATACGTTTTTTTTTTTTTTCTGGGATCTTTTATTTCAGCTCATGAAGCATGGGATCAACACTTGACATGTTGCGTTTATATTTTGGTTCAGTTTATATTATAGGGTTATGGTTATGGTTAGGGTTAGGGTTAGGGTTAGGGTTAGGTAAGTAGAATAAGTTGAAATCAAAGGGGATGTGTTATATTATAACCAAATTCATATTTGTGTAAACATAAACTTACCATAACCTCTGAAACGATGCCTGCATTTAACCGCCACAACTAGGGTACACAGTAACATCCCAATGACAACCACAGTGGCACTGACCATGTCTGCAGACACAGTACAGTAACAGAATAAAGTACATGTTTTTAATGTAAAGTAGGTCAAATCTGCATTATGGATGACATAGTGATAAATGTATACAGTATATGGATGACATAGCGATAGATGCATACAGTATATGGATGACACCTTGCTATGTCTTTATATATCAGAGTAGATGTCGTGTTTGTGTGTCTGTGTGTTGCCCGTCTGTGACTGTGTGGGTGTAGGGTGTGTGAGGAACAGGGAGTGTGGGGACGGGGTGTGAGGAACAGGGAGTGAGGCGACGGGGACTTCACACGCTGGGCTTTGGCTCCAAGGTTAAACAACAGAACAGAAAAGAGGAGTGGATGGGAGTGATCTCACAAAGGCGAATGGGCAGACAACAGGGAAATGAATAATGATGCAATCACAAACACACGTTAACACGAACGTTATTAGGCGTGTAGATTATTATATCACAAGTAAACAAAAAAAGTATCCATACCCACAAAGTAAGAGGAGTGTTTGAGTTGAGGTTGCTTCTCTTCTGGGTTCCAGGTGATGTTGCCATTACAGAGGTTTGAGTTGCACACACATGTGATGTAGTTATAGTTGGTGGTTGACGTAAAGCAGGCATTGTCTGGGCAGTCACCGACTACTGGATTGCAACCTATAGAGAATGACAGATAAACAGAGGGGTCAATAAATGCCACATTTTAAGCTATTTGGATTTATTTTAGACTGTCTATGAATTGGTTGGAGAGTGGTTACTTTTCCCCTGCCCCATTCCTCAGATTATCGAGCAAAGAGGCAGGGACAGGATGTTGAAATTTCACATTGTGCCTTTAATTTCCAATCTGGTATCTGGTCTAATTGTGTCTGGTGTATGAAGGGTCTGTGGACCCATATCACCTTGTAGTTCTGCCACTGGCTGGCCCCTGATAAGCTTGAAGAAGCCGGCACAGCAGTTAGTGTGGGCACAGTACTGGATTGTCCCGTTAACGCGGCCCGCCTCCATCTGCTTGGAGTTACGGGTGCTGGTCAGGAACACACAGCTCCTTCCCTGCTCCACCGCTGGAGCCGGGGCAGACACTGACAGACATCCTATAGGAGAAAGGAAAGATACACTGAGTGTCCAAAACATTAAGGACACCTGCTCTTTCCATGACATAGACTGACCAGGTGAATCCAGGTGAAAGCTTTTGATCCCTTATTGATGTCACTTGTTAGATCCACTTCAGATCAGTGTAGATGAAGGGGAGGAGACAGGTTAAAGAAGGATTTTCAAGCCTTGAGACAATTGAGACATGGATTGTGTATGTGTGCCATTCAGAGGATGAATGGGCAAGACAAGACATTTAAGTGCCTTTGAACGGGGTATGGTAGAAGGTGCCAGGCACACCGGTTTGTGTCAAGAACTGCAACGCAGCTGGGTTTTTCTCGCTCAACAGTTTCCTGTGTGTTTCAAGAATGGTTCACCGCCCAAAGGACATCCAGCTGACTTGACACAACTGTGGGAAGCATTGGAGTCAACAAGGGCCAGCATCCCTGTGGAACACTTTCAACACCTTGTAGAGTCCATGCCCTGACGAATTGAGGCTGTTCTGAGGGCAAAAGGGGGGGAGCAACTCAATATTAGGAAGGTGTCCTTAATGTTTTATACACTCAGTGTGTAATGATTTAACTAAGATAGAAACACTTAAAATATTATTTCACTTGACTAGAATAGAACGAAACAGAACAGAACAGAATAGAATATAATTATTAAATTACGTTAAATCAGGGAAAAACTCGCTGAAATTCAGGAATAGGCCTAGGGATAAAATTATATAAAATGGAGAAACTTCTTCCCATGAGAATTGCTTTCAAAACATACTCATCCATTTTCATTTCTGTAAAGGTATGTAGGCTAAACTTGAAGGTAGGCTAAACTTGAAACTTGGGTGATCCACAAAGTACACAATGGAAACAATATTTCTAGCGCCTCTCATAAGACCATAAACACTTCAAGGCTTTCAGATAGAAACAATTAAATCAGTGAATGGCAACTGATAGTCACATACATTTACATTTACATTTTAGTCATTTAGCAGACGCTCTTATCCAGAGCGACTTACATATATATATATATATATATATTTTTATACTGGCCCCCTGTGGGAATCGAACCCACAACCCTGGCGTTGCAAACGCCATGCTCTATCAACTGAGCTACATCCCTGCCGACCATTCCCTCCCCTACCCTGGACGACGCTGGGCCAATTGTGCGCCGCCCATGAGTCTCCCGGTCGCGGCCGGCTGCGACAGAGCCTGGATTCGAACCAGGATCTCTAGTGACACAGTTAGCACTGCGATGCAGTGCCTTAGACCACTGCGCCACTCAGGAGTTGAATTATGTATAACATTTTAAGTATCCCAAATTCCATGCCAACTTCAAATTAGTAGCACAGTAATTCAATTTGATTAAAAACATAACTCACCAAAGATGGTTAAATACAGCCACAGGCACATAGCTATAATCGGTACTTCCACTTATTTCTGTCTTTCTGTGAGCTGGCTGTAGGCTAGGTCTGATGTGTGTGAGCTAAGATGATAACGCAAGCTGAGTTTTCCCACCCACACACACACACACAAACACACACACACACACACACACACACACACACACACACACACACACACACACACACACACACACACACACACACACACACACACACACACACACACACACACTGGCTGATAAGGAGGACACAAACACTAAATTGTAACAAATGCATTGCAACTGGAATGAATAGCCTAGAGAGACGATTTATTTCTTCGTTAAAGTAACTTTAGGTTATTCAAAAAGTTATGAAAATAACTTTGGATAAGAGGTTATTTTAGGTTATTATGTGTTTAATTAAAAAAAAAACATTTGTAGGCCTTCATGTCCTCGTTGTTAACAAGTATGTGTGATATTCTGTACATAACAAGTGTTACATTTCATTACACACAATCTTATATTTTAGTCATTTAGCAGACACTCTTATCCAGAGCGACTTACAGTTAGTGAGTGCATACATTTTCATACTGGCCCCCCTTGGGAAACGAACCCACAACCCTGGCGTTGCAAACGCCATGCTCTACCAACTGAGCTACATCCCTGCTGGCCATTCCCTCCCCTACCCTGGACGACGCTGGGCCAATTGTGCGCCGCCCCATTGGTCTCCCGGTCGCGGCCGGCTACGACAGAGCCCGGATTCGAACCAGGATCTCTAGTGGCACAGCTAGCACTGCGATGCAGTGCCTTAGACCACTGGCCACTTGGGAGAACATTTCATTTGTTAGTGTAAGTACTTTATTAATATTAAATATTTCCCTCTCCTCCTGTATGCCCCCTCATAAACATCGCATCCCTGTCAACTGTACCACAGACAGAAGGGGTAACCCAGATAGGTCACAGGGGCTATAAAGCTGAAGCATCCGTTTAGAACCATATTTGGTGGTGATAGGAAGTCCAGTCGCGGGTAGTGGGAGAGGATGGAACTAGGAGAAACTGGGCCAACATTCTGCTTATTTTCTCATCGATGAAACATCTGATCTCAATATATTTTTCTGTTCCAAAAACTAGAATCTGTTACGAACACAGTGCACTAGGTTTGACATATTTGACTATTTGACAAAGTAAACATTGTTTTTGCGTGGTTCAGAAGCAGTGCAAGGTCGAATTGAGTTTGTGCACACGCGCACTTCACAGAGGAGGAAATATGCAAATACATGCTACAACGTGCCAATAGGATCTCGCTAGCTCGTGCTTGGCTTTTCCCACTTCCTTCTTGTTCTGCCCGCTATGCTTTATTTGCTCCCACTGTAAACAACACAGATAAACTATTTGGGGTTAGTGATAAATATATTTGACTGTACTGTTGGAAAGAGGTAGGTTAGAGTAAAATTGTCCCATTCCAAATCATCATCAATATGTTATTGTTAAAGGACCGATATTTAGTTTATAGTCTGACATAAACTAAATACGGTCTCGGAGCTCGTTTTTTTCCGAGTTCCCAGTTTTTGGAACGCTCAAAAGTCGGAGATTTCCGAGTTACCAGTTATTTTGAACGCTGATATATTGTATCACGTGATGGAATATTGGGTCGTGTTCATTAGAGCAAGCAAAGGAAAACGTTTTGCAACGGAAAACAAACATGAGCGTATTTTTATTGGACGCTAGATAGTTCCTCTCTGTTTCAGTTCGTTTTCTTCCGTTTGGTGCCTAATAAACACGATCCTGATTAGATTAATTTGAATAATTGGATAGGCTACCTTGCTAGGCTGATCAATAAGCTACAGTCAAGAGTACGCCTTTGTGAGTACGCCTTTGACCAGAAACACAATGGACAATGTAACTTTGTTTCTTCTTCTTCTCTAAATTGATTCTAGTTACACAGTTAAAATGTTTAACTGAACTAACTTTTGATTTGTTTTGTTTTCGTGTTCTAGACTGGTGTTTTGGGAATGTCTTCGCTCTCTATTAAACTCGCTGAGATTTTCACAGAGGAGTCGGACAATGAGAGAACGTTCTATGGGTTTTCTGACAGTGAAAGCGATATATGTGATAAGGTTTGATATCAGTGTATTTTTTTTATTAATTATTTGCACCTGTTTACAAATTATCCAGTCACTGAGTTTGTGCTATTTAATCGGGTCCATGTAAAATCCTGATTTACCCACAGCAAGTTACTTTAATAATAGGCCTAATTTTAAAATGTACTGTTTTAGAGGTAATCGGAAGAATCAGATGTGTATTTGTATGGACCTCATTCTCTTCCAGTGGTTCCATATGTAGATCTAATATGGTGTCAAAAAACGTGATAATATTCAAACATACAGGTATATCTGGTTATCAACTGTTATTCTTATGTCATCTATCTATCTACCTATCTTTCCACCAGAGTTCAGACAGTGGCAATCCAGTGGATATCAAAGGCAGCCCACTGAAACAGCCTGCGCCCTATCGCTTCACGTTACGGGTGGCACTGCGTCCCCGTAAGCCAGCCACACCAACCCCTCACTCCGGTGCAGAAGAGGAGAGGAAGGTGAAAGCTGAGCAGAAGAGAACAGTAACATTTAAAGTAGAAGAGAAGCCGGTAACCAAAGCAACACAGCCTGTTAAACAACAGTCCGATTCTGATTCTGAGGCTGATGATCTACCACAGGTCGACTCCTTTCTGGCCAAGAGGGCCCAGAACATCAAGGCTAACAAAGCTATGGTAAACCTGCCTTTTTGATATTAACACACACAGTCCTGAGAGATGACAATCAATCTGTCACGTTTAGCTGTACAACTAATGCTGTGCTGTGTATTCCTTGTTTTTAACTCCCGTCTCCTGCAGTTGGCTCAGTTGATAGCAGACCTGCATAAGATGCCAGGAGCTGCCCTGCTGAAGGGTAACGGAGAAGGCAATCTTAAAAAGGAGAAAGGCTCTGTGAGTTGATTGCATGATTCTGGCTCACCATGGATGAGCATCTCAACATTTCACTGGGCTGGTTTAAAACCAGGGCATGTTCAGTGTATTCATGTCCCTAGAGAGGATGCAGTGGAGTGAGGGAGATGGGGTGGGAGAGATGTTCAACTTTCAACACCTTTTCTATTGTTCATCATCGCTTCACCAGCTTTTCTATTGGCCAGCGCAGCTTTCTCCAGGTTTTCTATTGGCCAGTGAAGCTTCATTGACCCTTGACCTCTTCCTATTCCCCTGCAGCGAGCGCCCCACTCCAAGGGAGCAGCAGCGAAGTCCAGGAAGAACCCTATGAGATCCTCCCGGAGACAGACCCGCTCCATGGGGGGAGCTGAGGGATTGGAGGCCCACCAGGAGGAGAGAGAGCTGGAGCTCAGTCTGGAGGAGGAACTGCTGGAGGTTAACAAATACCCTTTTCACACGATCATGCCGACCCAAACCAAACTGTACCACAACTACGGTGGATGCCGTAACTAAGCTAGCTCAGTATGTCTAGGTTAAGTTCAGCTTTGTGTGGCCCAGTAGGGTTAAAAAAATATATATATATATAGATTCACATAGAATTTTAATGTAGATTGTGATTTGTATAGAGATTTATTCTGGTAATAGATTCTCAATGAGCGGCCTGTCTTCTGTTCCAGGTACGTGGTGATCCGAGGCGGAGGGGTGCTCCACGTCCCAAACAGGCCAAACCTCACAACATACGACCTGTGGGGGAGATCACTGAGGACGAGCTACTCCAGGTGGCAGACCACACAACGGAGAAGGTGTACAACAGCGCCACAGTAAGTTAGGTCTCACCAAAGTCTAAGGGGTGTTGTGTTGTCTTGTGTACGATGCAATACAATTTTGTTGACCAATTTGCATCATTTAATGTATTTCTGCTGTCTGATTCTCAGGGCTCAACATGTCATCAGTGTCGCCAAAAGACCACCGACACCAAGACGTGTTGCCGTAGCGAGGAGTGTCGTGGTGTAGCGGGACAGTTCTGTGGTCCGTGTCTGAGGAACCGATATGGAGAGGACGTGAGGAAAGCCCTGCTCGACCCGGTACGAACCCCGTCGCTTGTCTTATACCCTTTTCACACTATCGTGTCAACCTTAAATCTTACTATGCTGGCGCTGATATTTTATTTTCTCATAGTTCTTTCCCAACACGGTTCCAACGACTACGGTGGATGCATAACCAGGCCAGCACAGTTAAAGCTTGGTGTGGCCTGGCTCGGTTCAGCTCTGTTGTGTGAAAAAGCGCTAATGATTCATCAACGTTTTAAAAGTCTTCAGGTTCCCTTATCAGTAGGATGTAGTCTACAGCACTGTGTTCATGGCCACGTACATTACCTGAACACATGGTAGCATGCACATTAATTAATTAACAGGACCTTTGGGTGCCTAGTTGCCTGCAGCGACAACTCTCTCTATGTTTAGAGCCTACTGCGGTCATAGAGGTGGCGCTATGAGGCATTCAGACTCTCTAGGAGGATATGAAAGTCTTGAAGTAGAATATATATATTTTTTATTTTTTTCATGTAACTGTTCTTGTTGTCCCCTGCTGCAGGACTGGCGGTGCCCACCGTGTCGTGGCATATGTAACTGCAGTTTCTGCCGTGCCAGAGACGGACGCTGCCCAACCGGAATCCTGTTCCCTCTGGCTCAGTACCACGGCTTCTCTGATGTCCACTCTTACCTCAGCAGGTCAGTCCGGGGGGGCTGTATGTATCTACCCTCTGAGTTGGAGTACTGATCTAGGATCAGTTAAGTTTGATTGCATGGGGGGGGGGGACCTGAACCTGAACCTGAACCTGATCCTGATCCTAGAACAGCACTCCTACTCTGAAACGCTTGATACATACGGCCCCTGAAATTCAACAAAGCAACCTCTACTATCTAGGACCTAGCCACTTGTAGTTTTGAATAGCAAGGGTTTTTCTCCCTCATTGTATTGCAATTATGAATCATTATGCTTGACACATTTTTTTTTTCTTCTAGTCTTCGCAGTAAACTGAAAAATGGGGAGGACTGAGGATTTATGAATGGGAGTCTGAAGGGAGTCTCTTCAATGTCCTTATATGGCCACCAGGGGGAGCTGTTGCTATTGCCCATATTGTGAATCACTGGTCTGGGAATACAGCAGTTTGACTCCTATCCAGATGAGGTTTATTATGTTCTGCAATATTGTTGTTACGGTTTTTGATTGGAATATTGATGTTGATTTTAATCTTTTTTTATAATAAATTACCTTTGACGATGTCTGAGTTTAGTCAAATCCTGATTTATTTTTTGAAGGTTACATTGAAAACTGAGTATAATTGAAGGTTCTTGTCGTTCACTTTACTGAGGACTTGGCACAACACCGGTCGGCTCTCCTGAGATGCTAGCTAAAGGGGCGGACAAAATTGGATATGACATCAACAATTTGACATCAGATTTAAAGAATAATATGCCATTTAGCTGACACTTACAGTGCCTTGCAAAAGTATTCATCCCCCTTAGCGTTTTTTGTTGTTGCATTACAACCTGTAATTTAATTGGATTTTTATTTGGATTTCATGTAATGGACATACACAAAATAGTCCAAATTGGTGAAATGAAAAAAAATAACTTGTTTCAAAAAATTCTAAAAAATGTATAACGGAAAAGTGGTGCATGCATATGTATTCACCCCCTTTGCTATGAAGCCCCTAAATAAGATCTGGTGCAACCAATTACCTTCAGAAGTCACATAATCAGTTAGATTGTACACAGGTGGACTTTATTTAAGTGTCACATGATCTCAGTGTATATATATACACACCTGTTCTGAAAGGCACCATAGTCTGCAACACCACTAAGCAAGGGGCACCATGAAGACCAAGGAGCTCTCCAAACAGGTCAGGGACAAAGTTGTGTAGTACAGATCAGGGTTGGGTTATAAAAAAATATCAAACTTTGAACATCCCACAGAGCACCATTAAATCCATTATTTAAAAAATGGAAAGAATATGGCACCACAACAAACCTGCCAAGTGAGGGCCACCAAACCTCACGGACCAGGCAAGGAGGGCATTAATCAGAGGCAACAAAGAGACCAAAGATAACCCTGAAGGAGCTGCAAAGCTCCACAGCGGAGATTGGAGTATCTGTCCATAGGACCACTTTAAGCCGTACACTCCACGGAGCTGGGCTTTACGGAAGAGTGGCCAGAAAAAAAGCCATTGCTTAAAGAAACAAATAAGCAAACACGTTTGGTGTTCGCCGAAAGGCATGTAGGACACTCCCCAAACATATGGAGGAAGGTACTCTGGTCAGATGAGACTAAAATTGAGCTTTTTGGCCATCAACGAAAACGCTATGTCTGGCGCAAACCCAACACCTCATCACTCCGAGAACACCATCCCCACAGTGAAGCGTGTTGGCAGCATCATGCAGTGGGGATGTTTTTCATCGGCATGGACTGGGAAACTGGTCAGAATTGAAGGAATGATGGATGGCGCTAAATACAGGGAAATTCTTGAGGGAAACCTGTTTGTCGTCAGAGATTTGAGACTGGGACGGAGGTTCACCTTCCAGCAGGACAATGACCCTAAGCATACTGCTAAAGCAACACTTGAGTAGTTTAAGGGGAAACGTTTAAATATCTTGGAATGGCCTAGTCAAAGGCCAGACCTCAATCCAATTGAGAATCTGTGGTATGACTTAGATTGCTGTACACCAGCGGAACCCATCCAACTTGAAGGAGCTGGAGCAGTTTTGCCTTGAAGAATGGGCATAGATCCCAGTGGCTAGATGTGCCAAGCTTATAGTCATACCCCAAGATACTTGCAGCTGTAATTGCTGCAAAAGGGGGTAGGGGGGTTGAATACATTTTGTCTTGTTTGTTTCACCCCAAAAAATATTTTGCATCTTCAAAGTGGTAGGCATGTTGTGTAAATCAAATGATACAAACCCCCCCAAAATCTATTTTTATTCCAGGTTGTAAGGCAACAAAATAGGAAAAATGCCGGGGGGGGGGGTGAATACTTTCGCAAGCCACTGTACCCAAAGCGATTTAGTCACGCGTGCACGCATTTCCATATGGTTGGCCCCAGTGGGAATCAAACCCGCAATCCTGGCATTGCAAGTGCACTGCTCAACCAACACCAATAGGACCATACATCTAAAAGAACAGGTCACACATTTATTTTGTATTCATCATTTTAATCCAGCTGTTGGCGTTTGTAGTAATAACATTCAAAAACCAAAACCAACTCCCTTATATGAAATAAAAACATGTTTTAAGGGCACTTGTCTGAAAATAAACATAACAATTGCAAGGAAGGATAGGAGTTGACAACCAAATACTGAAACACTTAATTCAAATACATTTCCCCATACAACTTGTAGTTGATCAAGCTCGAAGTGGACGTCAAGTCAACAATCGGGCATTAAGTAGTTAACGTCTTTAGAAAAAAAACCTTAAAACACCCTTCAGATGTTTCTGTCCCAAATGGCACCCGATTTTACAATAGTGCACTATTTTAGACCAGGGCCCATAGTACCCTTGTCAAAAGTAGTGCACTACGTAGGGAATAGGGTACCATTTGAGACGCACATTTAGAACCCCCATCTAGTCAGTCTCCTGCAATACAACTTCCACTGTGACTGACCGCCCTTCTGTTAAGACTACTGAAACTGACTGGATTAAATAGTATGAAGAGGTCCATTTTAAAATGTTTGATCAAGTTTGTTAGACCCTGGCTTTCTGTTCAAGACAACTTATGAAACCTCTTTCTTCCAAAACATGCAGGCCAGTGGTGTTACAGAAATAGTGTTGTAAAATGCCAGTAAAAAAAAAAAAATGCAGGTTTTCCAGAAAATGGTTAAAATTCCTAGAAAAGGGATTGCATAAGTAGGAAATCCAGGAATCCTTTAAGTACAACCAGGATTTCTGTAAAACCTGGGAACGTTACTGGTATTTTGCAACCCTATACACAAAACCAAGCTGTAATAGCCGTGTAGCTCAGTTGGTAGAGCATGGCGTTTGCAACACCAGGGTTGTGGGTTTGATTCCCACGGGGGGCCAGTAGGAAAATGTATGCACTCTAACTGTAAGTCGCTCTGGATAAGAGCGTCTGCTAAATGACTAAAATGCAAAAGAACCATGGCCGGAGTCGGGTTGTGTTGGCACTGTCTGCAACTGTTCTAGAACTGAGGACAAAACATTCCATTCCAGAGTCCTCTTAAACAGAATATGGACTTTGGTTTTAGCTTAAATTTATTTTTGCATTATTTGGAAATATGACTAACAAAAAAACAAAATCAAAAGTAGTCAAGGAGGAATTTGATTTCCAAATGCATCAGAGAAAACGGCTGGAGTATGAAGGAAGTTGACAAATATACCACAGAAAAAGTAAATATGTACTGGGAAGAACTGGACCGTATTGAATACATACATAGTTCATTCTATAGACAGAACACTTTTGAAATAGAGTTTACAAACAAAATCTACATTTATATAAAAGTTGATAATAACAATAGAAGTTTAAGATTGATTGTGTATGAGAGACTCAACAGAAAGGCAATCTCTTGCGACCATATAAAGTTCAGTTGATCCTTCCTAGGGTAAGAATTTCTGTAGCTTTACACATTTTTTTGAAGAAAAGAAGAAAAAAACATATGTACATACAAAAAAAGTTATCCCAAATATTTTTTTTTGGCTATGATAATAAACATATCAAAGCATGATGGCTTGAATGGGTACCTATATAATAATCATATAAAAAGGCAGAAAACAAGGAGATATCTCATGAAGATTTTAGATCTGTATCTAAAAACAAAATGGCTCCCCATGTAGTGTACTACTTTTGACCAGGACCCATAGGGCTCTGGTTGAAAGTAGTGCCCTATGTAGGTAATAGGGTACCAGAGAGTGTCCTCCATCCCGAGGATTAATGCTCCTAGGTCTGGGCTGTCTTCAGGGACATGAAACGTGCCGGAACGTTGCAGATAGAAAATACAGAGCTGACACGATTCCCCTATTTTATCCGACATTAATTTCTGTTCTACACCATGTTTTCCATCTGAACGTTCTGTAACGTTACATCCTCCTGAACAGGCCCCAGAAGTCACTAGTGACCTAATAATGAGCCACTCCCCCCCCCCCCATCCACACTGGCCTCCAATGAGAAAGAACCAATGGTGATACTGGGCGGGACTAGAGAGGGCGTGAGTGACCAGGCGAGGCCCAACCCACTCAACCAGCTAGTACAGTGGAGTATTGAAGGTAGCCCTGGTGTATATTGTACTATAGTGTACTATACCCAGACAGAGAGAGGGGGTTGGAAAAGAAGAGACCTGAGAGAGGTGAGAGGGGGGGGGGGGGGGGGGGGGGGGAGTAGGGAGGCAAGCAGGACACTGGACTGAGTAGCAGTAGTGTGTATCTGTATTCTGTACAAATAGAGATTGGAAGTGATGGATTTGTATTGTATTGGAAGGGGCCTTTGTGAACTGGAAACCCCCCCGACACACCCACAGACCGACACCAGATCCAGAAGGGCCTTTGTGATCGTGTTACTAAAGTTACGGCAATCTATGATAACCACTGTAGCAGTCCCATTAATTCCCTTCCATCATCGATCGGATCTAGCTGACTAAACATCCAGACTCCTCTCCACCTGACCCACCCCATTTTCCCTATTTCATTGGCTTGAAGTCCATGGAAAGACACCAATAGTACTTTATCTAAATAAAAGGGACAGGGACTCCCTGGATCCTGTCTCTCAAAGATATTATCTAACAGGGCTCTTCCCTCCATTCCCATCATTAGCCTTTAGTCTTACTGTATATCATCTAGAAACACATAGCCCTTTTATTAGCCCTTAGATAGATCAATGTCCACTCCTCCACTACTGTCCTGACCCCCACATCCAATCAGTAATCAATATCCGTTACTGTTGGAGTGCAGATCGGCCACCTGCATCACGTTGATGCCGCTGCTGGCCAATCGGGCGATGCCCTCGGGCGACAGTGTCTCCATGGCGATGAGGGCGTGCTGGTCATTGACCCCGGCCCCGCCATCCGCGGCTCCGCATCCACCCGACTGAGGGGCGGAGTTATCGGAGGCCGCAGCGCCACCGGTGGTGGGTTTCTTGTTGAGGTGGGTCTTGAGGTGTTTGGAGAGGTGGTCGCTGCGCATGAAGCGCTTTGGGCACTCTGTACACTGGAACTTCTTCTCACCTAGACGGGATGTTACAGGTTAGTACTGATCCATATTGTAACTCCCTGCTGACACTTGCAGAGATAATCAACGATCAAGTCATTGAGATCTACCCTAGAGGGTGTATCCTTCAAAACAACAGAGAAAATGCCTCCTTTAATAATATTGACCTTCTCTTTTCTCTCTGGCATCGCTGGTTTATTTCATCATGATTCATCAGAAATTAAAACGGACATCATCTGCACAGAGGTCATTGTTACGTTGGACCATAGGAGAAAGACGGGAGTGTCTGCTAAATGACTGAAATGTAAACCATAAGCTATAGGGTCAAAGGTTATTCCTGAGACCTGGTTATCACCATTTAATATAGTCAGAGCCTGTAGCTAGAGCCCAGAGTTGTTCCTGGTCCAGTCATCATAAGGTCAGGGAAAACTCATTGTCCTAGTCAGCAGTGACAGTCACAACCATGGAGATGCACTATGCAGATATCACTCCATTATTTCCTGGTTGCTAAAATTCTAATAGCTCACCTAATTTCAGTTTATGTGACAAAACAAGAAAGTATAGTGTAGAGAATCATTGTACCATCTAAACCGCTATGAAATATATTTTCCATAACCAAAAATATTGTCTTTTCAGCTGTTTGAAGCTGGTGTACAAAACTGAAAGTAAAAGAAACAAAAACTAAACTTAACAGGAAGCATAGAAATAGAGCACATAGAACAGATCTACCGCTTCTTAGACTTGCTTTCAATGAGAATGACAGATCGATAACTCACAATTCTATGCGAAATTGGTCAGGTCGCCCCAAAAGTTACATATTGCAGCTTTAAATTAACAGAGGGGCTATGTCAAACTCTCAAAGTTTCAGAACGGGGTGAAAATGGCAGCCATATTGGTCAGGGAGAAATCCAAACTAGCCTTGTGTGGTGAGGCTCTGTACGGTGACAGTCACAACACTATCTCCAGCTCTGCTGTGTGATGAGGCTGGGTACGGTGACAGTCACAACACTATCTCCAGCTCTGTTGTGTGATGATGCTGGGTACGGTGACAGTCACAACACTATCTCCAGCTCTGTTGTGTGATGATGCTGGGTACGGTGACAGTCACAACACTATCTCCAGCTCTGTTGTGTGATGAGGCTGGGTACGGTGAGAGCTAAATTGACAACTTCGATAGACGGGTTAGCTGACAACGTCACGAAGGCCTTGTGTTGTGATTCTGGACGTTCAGATAGCTACCAACAATGACAAGAAGCTGCCATGTGGGGAATCGTAAGTGACTGGTTTCAGCTAGTTTCATCTTGTTCTTGAATACCATGCCTTGTTTTGAGATGTTCTGATGGTTGTCACAGCTAATATGGCTAAAATTAGCTCGCTAGCTAACAACTGTAATGATGTAGTAGAGAGAAAAGTGCTCATTGTGCAACTTAATTTATGTTTTCAATAAACATTGGAGATGAAATGTAGTTTACATGTTGTCAACAATCCAAACCAACCCCGTCTGTTTTCCCCCCATAGTTGCGCACGCCTCGGTTTTGTTGCTAAACAACCAACACGTCTATTGTCTCTGTATAACGGATCAATAAAGATGTATTTTATCGGATTGGCCGTCTCACCTGTGTGTGTCCTCTTGTGGCGCTGCAGTTCGTCTGAGCGAGTGAACTTTTTCCCACAGAAGGACCAGCTGCAGACGAAGGGTCGTTCTCCAGTGTGCCAGCGGAGGTGGGCTCTCAGGTGAGATGTCTTACCGTACACCTTCCCACAACCTTGCATGTGACAGATATGCTGCTTCTTCTTATTGGGATCTCTGAACAGTAAAGGAAAGGAAAGGGGGAATTGACGGTCATTTGCTGTTGGGCTATTTGACGTGTGCCACCAACCTTTTGTTCAGTTTCAGAAACATTGTCCCAGTCTCGGGATACATCATGTCGCTCAAATATACTTCCCAACCGGTCTCTGATTAGCTTTTATTCGAGTTTTTATTCATCAGGATTTATTCCAAAATGTAAATATAATCTGCACAGAGGTCATTGTTGGACCACAGGAGAAAGTAAGTCTTAAGCAATAGGGCCAGTGGTTCTTGTTGAGACTTGGTTTTAACCATATAACCTGGTTCCATCATCATAAAATCAACAGAAAGGCTTCCAGGTAATAAAACGAACATTTGACCCCAGCTCTTGACGTTTCCCGATAATGCAATAGTGTTGACAGACTCCGATGTTACGTACCGTGCCTCGCCGTCCTTACAGAAGGGACAAGTGCAGGCTTCCCGGCGTGTCCGGCGGTTCTGAGGCTGAGGGGACGTGTCTCCCTCGTCCATGGCTGTGCCGTCATCCAGACTGTCCCCCCCTGTATGCAAACCCTGGTCTCCTGCAGGGGAATAAAACAGGAAGGTCAGCCTTTACAGACAGACATACAGTACATTCGGTGTTTATAAAAACATAATTGGCCTTCCCGTTTGTAAAAGCTTACTGGACTGACAAATCAATTGGTTTAGGTGTGTATCTACAACCACTGGACATTACAGATAGGAATCACCTTCAAGTAAAATATACGTTTATTGGTCACGTACACAGTTTAGCAGATGTTCTAGCGGGTGCAGAGAAACGCTTAGCATGAGGAGAAATGCTTAGCATGAGGAGAAATGCTTAGCATGAGGAGAAATGCTTAGCATGAGGAGAAATGCTTAGCATGAGGAGAAACGCTTAGCATGAGGAGAAACGCTTAGCATGAGGAGAAATGCTTAGCATAAAGAGAAATGCTTAGCATAAAGGGAAATGCTTAGCATAAAGGGAAATGCTTAGCATAAAGGGAAATGCTAAGCATAAAGGGAAATGCTGCAAAAATCTCTGAAGCTGGAGACACTTATCTCCCTCACTAACTTTAAGCATCAGTTGTCAGAGCACCTTACCGATCACTGCACCTGTACACAGCCCATCTGAAATTAGCCCGCCCAACTACCTCATCCCTATATTGTTATTTATTTTGCTCATCTGTACCCCAGTATCTCTATTTGCACATCATCTCTTGCACATCATTCCAGTGTTAATACTAAATTGTAATTATTTTGCACTATAGCCTATTTTATTGCCTTACCTCCATAACTTGCTAAATTTGCACACTGTATATTAATTGTATTTCTGTTGTATTTTTTTGATTTTTGTTTTGTTTTACCCCATATGTAACTCTGTGTTGTTGTTTTTATCGCACTGCTTTGCTTTATCTTGGCCAGGTCGCAGTTGTAAATGAGAACTTGTTCTCAACTGGTTTACCTGGTTAAATAAAGGTGAAATAAATAAAATAAAAAATAAAAAATGCTTAGCATAAAGGGAAATGCTTAGCATAAAGGGAAATGCTTAGCATAAAGAGAACCTCATGACAGTCAACAGACCCAATAGCATGTGATTATTATTCTGTTACTGTACTGTGCAGGCTAAACCAGTTGAAAAACACCCTACTTATTGCCAACCCGTATGTAATTAGAAGTCCAACCAGTAATGTCGGGTTGAGACATATTGGGAAATATATGTTGAATTTCATGTCTAATTTCAGGACAGAGAAAGACTATAGCCAAAATATAAAATATAAATGCTGGTAGGAAGAGGGCAAACTTGGCCACACCCACCTAACATGTGTGGTGTGTGTCTGTCTGTGGGGGCCTTGATAAGACACTTACAGGGTGGGTGGGGTGAAGTTACACCCCTCCGCTGCTCCTATGGAGGGTCAGACCAGACAAACCAAACCCTTTACTAGCTGACTGTCAGACCAGACAAACCCCTTACTAGCTGACTGTCAGACCAGACAAACCCCTTACTAGCTGACTGTCAGACCAGACAAACCAAGCCCCTTACTAGCTGACTGTCAGACCAGACAAACCAAGCCCCTTACTAGCTGACTGTCAGACCAGACAAACCCTTTACTAGCTGACTGTCAGACCAGACAAACCCTTTACTAGCTGACTGTCAGACCAGACAAACCCTTTACTAGCTGACTGTCAGACCAGACAAACCCTTTACTAGCTGACTGTCAGACCAGACAAACCCTTTACTAGCTGACTGTCAGACCAGACAAACCGCTTACTAGCTGATTGTCACTGACCCACAAAGGAAATTCTTAGTCAATGCACACCAACTGTCTGTTACTCTGAACACACACCATGTAGATGCTGGCTCACACCATGTAGATGCTGGCTCACACCATGTAGATGCTGGCTCACACCATGCAGATATGTAGCGTGAACTAGGAAAACCAGTTAGCTTACTTTAAAACAACACTACTTTGCATTCCAGGCATCAAGCTACATACATGCTTGTTTGTCAACATCAAATAATTCAAACCAACCAACTGAATGAAAACCTTTCTGGTTACAACAATTAAAGTGCAGATATGGGTAGGTCTACAACTGTGACCAAGGCAAGCAAGAAAATGTATCGATTTGAATTAATCCTTAATAGTCTATTGACGCACCCGTGCGTCAAGCTAAGTAACATTTTAAAAAATCTCCATCAACATCGGTCAGTTTAAGATGTGGGCTGCGTCTCAATCCACCGTATCCGCCGATGTCGGCCTTCCGGATCTGCGGTGGAAGGTGGCCGAGCTACAGCGGTGTTTGTCAGACCAGGAGACATCCCGAAAATCGGGTTCTCGCGAAAACGTTTGTAGCGTCTGAATGGTTTGGCTTAGAAAACTATTATGACCACTCTATAGAAAGAGACTCTCACAAACACGATGGTGTTCTCCGTTTTGCTCTACAACCCCCACAAGTGTCACGGGACTCGTCTGAAGGCAACACATACAAACCAACAGAAGTATGGAAGTACTTTTGTGCCCCCCAAAAAATAAGGGGTTAAATAATAATATTTCCTGAACTTTCTTACATCTCCTAGATATAGGACAGACACTTCAAAACCTTATGGTTTATTTTTTACTGTCTTTTTTGCCATTTATGAAATGTGTTATTCAATGCGTTTCTATGGGTTGTAGTAAGTAGTAAAATACAAATTCAATAGGATAAGTGTTAAGGCAGTCCTCAGCAGAACACGTACCAACTGTGTTAGAGATGGTGATGGGGACCCCTTGTAGCTGGTGCATCTGTAAGCCTGAGTTCTGCAGTGAGTTGAGGTTGATGGTGTGCAGCCCGGGGAGCTGCATGGTGCCTCCCTGGGCCTGGCCCAGCTGAGTGAGACCCTGCATGGGGGCCAGGGTGATCTGGGTCCCCGCTGGGCTCTGCAGCTGGAGGGTCTGCCAGCTCACCTGGAGGGACGAGGTAGAGGAATTGATTCGTTGATTGGCAGATTGAGGAAGTCCGTATTGATCGATTGGGAAATTTGGGAATCGAAAAAAAAAACACATTTAAGTTATATTTTCCATTGTTGGACAGATGAGTTTACATAAAACATTCTATTTTAACCTTTTATTTTCTCTCTGGCATCAGTGGTTTCTTTCATCACCATTATTCAGAAATTAAAACATCATACATCATCTGCACAGAGGTCATTGTTGGACCATAGGAGAAAGACAGGAGTGTCTGCTAAATCAGTGGTTCCCAACCAGGGGTACTATGACCCCTGGGGGTACTTGGCCTATCCACAGGGTGTACTTGAGATGACTCATGAGACCATAGGCTCCAGGCAGAGCAAAATTCAGTAGGTGGTACAGTAACTAAAAAAAGGTTGAGAACCAATGTGCTAAGTGACAAATGTAAAATGTAAGCAATAGGGCCAGGGGTTAACCTCCCGAGTGGCGCAGTGGTCTAAGGCACTGCATCGCAGCGCTAGCTGTAGCCGGCCGCAACCGGTTGCTGTTGCCGGCCGCAACCGGGAGACCAATGGGGCGGCGCACAATTGGCCCAGCGTCGTCCAGGGTAGGGGAGGGAATGGCCGGCAGGGAGGTAGCTCAGTTGGTAGAGCATGGCGTTTGCAACGCCAGGGTTGTGGGTTCGATTCCCACGGGGGGCCAGTATGAAAATAAAAAATAAATAAAATAATGTATGCACTAACTGTAAGTCGCTCTGGATAAGAGCGTCTGCTAAATGACATTAATGTAAATGTTATATCCGAGACCTGATAATCACCTTATAATAACCTAGTCAGAGCCTGTAACTAGGGCGTCAGATCCTGTAACTAGGGCGTTAGCACCAATCAATACATTCTGAAAAGCTTGAGTAGAACTCCTAGCTCACCTGTCCGTTGGGCCCGATGGTCCTCAGCAGGATGGGAGAGGTGTTGGGGATGGTCTGAATCTGCAGGTTCTGCAGGGCATCCTGGGTGAGTGTTGGGGCCGCGAACACCTGTCCCCCGGCCGAGATTGTCTGCAGGGAGGTCCCTCCCTGGATGAGCTGCTGGGGTTGAATGAGGATCTGCTGCGGCTGCTGTTGATCTCTGTTGTCTGGCTGGATGGGGATCCCGCCAACAGAGTTCTGGAAGCCGTTGGTGCTCTGAGTCTGCTGTGTCATGCCTCCATACGAGGTGCCTGTCTGAGTGGTGGTGGTGGTGGTTGAGTTGGTGTAGTAAGCGCCGGAGGTTGACACTACCTGCTGCATCAGCTGCTGGTTAGAGCCTCCGTCCCCTCCGCTCCCTTCTCCTCCAGAGCCACTAGATGCACTGACCGGGAGGAGGGTGATATTGCCGTTTAGGAGCCCAGGCATGTTAGCCAACTGGAACTGGCCCTGGTTGTTCTGCAGGACGCTGTTACCCAGACCTAGGTTCTGTAGGGGGATGGCTTGCTGTAGGAGCCCGGCGGGCATGGTTAGGATATTCCCTCCACTCCCTGCTCTAACCAGCTGCTGACCACCGTTAGGCGAGGAGACTAGCTGGAACTGTCCGGCCCCAGCTGCATTAGGGTCCTGCTGCACCCCTGCCTGGGCGAACTGTAGCTGCTGGCCATCCACCGTCTGGAACTGAGGGATCACCTGGTACTGGATGTTGGGCATGGACACAACCTGGCCCCCAGACATGGTGAGGACCTGCTGGCCCTGTAGAGAAGGAGCTGAGGACAGTACATACTGCTGCTGTCCCTGGTGTCCACTGGAGACTGACGTCAACACCTGCTGCCCCCTGTTCTTCCCTGCGTCGCCCGCGGTCATGACCATGCCAGTGGAGTCGGTGGTGAGGGTGTTGGAACCACTGGTGCTACCGAGACTGACCGGGATGATCTGCCAGCTCCCGTTGGCTGTCTGGGTCAGATGGGCTTGGCTTATGTCTAACTGTTGTTGTTCGGAGCCGGAGTCACTCTCACCCGGGGTGTCGATTCTACTACAGGTCGCTGCCAACAGAGCTAGAGGAGAGGGCTGCTGGGAGTCCTGCAATAAATAAAAATATGTTTGATTTGTGTTGTGAAACTACTAGTACAGTATACAAACTCAACAAATTGTTCACAGGAAGAGTAGCTCCTGCATGTGCAACAGCTAATGGGGATGTAAATAATAATACAGCATCACAATAGCTAACAAAATGTTACCAATGGGGTTCTGTTTGATGTGACCCTGTGATCTGCTTTTCAAAGTGATCGTAAGAGAAACCAAAACTAGGCCGAAAGGGTTCAATTAAAACAAATTAAACCACAGTGAAAGGCAAACAACCATTAACATAATAATGTACAATTCTTGTCACATTTGCCATGGTTTTAACATCACACGTACGGTGAGTGTGACACAGTACCACACTGCTATTCCAGCAAGAGTGAGAGAGCAAAGGGAGAGGAAATGTAGGAGCGCCAGTGGCAAATGGGTGGGATCACATTTTTTCAAGAGCAGCGGCGGGCTAAGCTTCCCCTCCCCCAACCCACCCACACCTTTATCTTGCCCTATAAACTAGCTCACTCAGCCGAAGCCACCCCCCTCCGAAGCCAGCCTAAATGGGATGTGCGAGTTGCAGTATGGGGCTGGCAGGAACTCCCCGTGTGGGATCATCCACCTCTATGACTGCCTATATCCCCACCCCAGTGACATGTGCTTGAGAGAAATCAACAACACTGATCAAAATCCATTCCCACCACCGTTAAGCTACGCATTATCCATAGCTAGCTAGCTAAAAATGTCTCATGCTTGCTACTTTTCTAGCTAGTTAACGTTAGATGTCAGGGGGGGTAGGGGTAACGTCTCTAGCCAACATCAGAGGAATACATTGAATGCACGTTATCTGGGAATGTGTATTCGACTGGCAAACATACTTGTCCGGTATTTGTGTTTCGCTTTTGAAGGAAGCCTCCACCGCTCTCCACCATCGCGGCCATTTCATCCTGTTGGTCTGTAAATGTAACGTTGCAAATGGATTAGCTGCTAACATTAGCTAACTACCTAATATTAGTTGCCAGATAAACAAGCTAGTTAGCTAATACAGCTGACACGACTATGATACTTTCATTAAATAAAAACACTGCTAATACCACGAACTAGCTAACTAGTTATGTACGTTTTACAAACAACCGTAAACAGCTGCTAACTGGCTAAAGAAAGTAGCTAAATAGCTAGCTCATAGCATAGGAACGATTAGTGAGTCTTAGTAATTACACAACCACAAGAGCTAACTAACGTTAGCTGACTGACTAGCTCATGACATGTGAGATATATTCGAGGAGTTGAACATTGGACTAACAAATTCATGTTTGCCAACCGTATCTAGTTGTTAGCTAATTTAGCCAGCTAGCTACCTCATTCGAAAATGCATCCTAAGTGGTTGGCTAACCATTAGCTCGTTAACGTTAGCTAAGATTGACTAAATGGGAATCAACTTTAGGGCTAAATAGCTGAAGAGTTTGAGACCTTATAATTTCATATTTGCCTAGCTTCATCTGCTCCATAACCTACTATTAGCTAGTTTCATACACTTTTACAAACTACTGTAGCTACTTTTGAAGAAAAAAGTTTACCTACCACTCATAATTTCGAGACGGGAGGAGTTTCTCGGGCTTCTTTTAGGTTGACATCAACTTTTTGCTCATCAACCAAACGTGATGGCCCTGCTAGGAAGGAGAAAGAAGGAACAAATATTATCCAATCAGATGTCAAATTGTGTTGTTGTTGGCCAATGGAAATGCTGTTTTATTTCATAACTATACCCATTCGCTGGGGGTTTCTACGTTGAGTAGTGTGAGCTTGATTTAGTAACTGAGCTACATCGGCTTGTACATTTGCGCTTTAAAAACCAATGGAACGACTTTATCCTGCTCCTAAAGTGCTCGCACGGCACGCCGTGCAACTTGAATCAAGTGCACCCAATATTTGAGTGACACCGACTGCTGACCAATGAGAGTTGTAGTTGTTCTAAAATGGGAAGAACTGACCAATGGGGATGTGGCCCTGGGCGGGTATTTGGGTGGGGTCAACAAAAGGTAGGTTGTACCTTTTGGCAGTTACGTTGACTAGAGTGTTTTTGGCGGAAAAGGCGCCATTGACAAACATGACCTAAATAAATTGTTGTTGACGAGTCCAACAGCAACAAAAATAGGCCACATTCACAACGAAACATATCATACAATGTTTCACACATCCTTTACAACATAATGAAAATACGGGAGGGAGGTTTAGAAATCGCTCAGCAACAGATGGGGCTAAACTTTTTCGCTGGCCACTCCCTGCCTGGTTGAACAGTGTAGGCTGGGGAACGTGCAAGGGGAGGGCTGGGACCGGGGTGGGTGGAGAGACCTGGAGAGACCTTTCAATGTGTAGGGACTCGTTTTGATAGCGCTGGGAGGAGATTTGTCGTGGGTGGGAGGGTTTTTATATGTGAGGGGGTGTCAGCGGAACACATGTGGCCGGGGTAAACATTTCAGTCCCCTTTGGATGGAGTGTGGAGTTGCCATGCTGGACAGCCACACACCCTCCGCCCTCCTATCGAAGTGGACCACCCCCTCCAGTCCACACTCCACCCCCAGTCCATCGCTCAGTGGTACATCCCCAACTGTTCTCCTTCAAGCCCGTCTTGTAGGTATCCAGAAGCACATAGACGCTGTTTTTAGTAGCCTTTTTTGATATCCTCACAGTGGATATTGAGAATAATATTTAGGTTATAAATAGGTTTTAACGGCCAAATATTTTAATTTTGCCACCAACCTCCCAAGTTTAGCAGAACACCTGTCATCACATCACAGCCCATCTGATCTATGCCTAACCCTACTGATTTTAATGTGAAATAATAAATAAATACAAATAGGTCTACCGTTTGAAAGTAGCCTATATTTCAGTCTTGTTTGATGATCTTTAAAATAGTGTTGTTATTATACAGGTAACTGCCAAACTAAAGAAAACACCAACATAAAGTGTCTTAATAGGGCGGTGGAACAGCTTCAATGCACCTTTGGCATAGATTCTACAAGTGTCTGGAACTCTATTGGAGATATGCGACACCATTCTTCCACTAGAAATTCCATCATTTGGTATTGTTTGTTGATGGTGGTGGAAAACGCTATTTTCAATTGGGTTTACATCGTTGGCATGCTCATCAAACCATTTAGTGACCACTTGTACCATGTGGATAGGGGACATTGTCATCCTATGGGGGCATAGACATGGTAGCCAAAATAATGGCCTGCCCAGCATTTGTATACATGACCCTAAGCATGATGGGATATTAATTACTTTATGAACTCAGGAACCACACCTGTGTGGAATCACCTGCTTTCAATATACTTTGTAGCCCTCATTTACTCAAGGGTTTCCTTTATTTTGGCAGTTACCTGTAGATTCCCTATAATAAAAAATATATGTTTGCCAAGTTGTTAGACATTTCAAGGAATATAACTTGATGGGATACATAATAGATGACCTGTGCACAGGTCACAATCACTAGCCTCGTTTACACCTTGTGTTAACATGTACGTTTTGTAATCTGATCAATATGATCCAATCACTATCTGATCAAGCACAATGATCCAATCACTATCTAATCAAGTACAATCAGAATGTGGAAATTATCAGGACAAAGGGCGCATGTTAGCACCAGGTATAAACGGTGCTATACTGTGAGCTCTTCTTCATTAGCCTACAGTGTGTGTCGGCTTCTGTTACTGCAGGGAGGATGTGTGTCGCAAGTGTTTCACGCGTTCTTTTTTTTTCAGTTGAAGTCACACGAACTTCCTTTTTTACCTTCCTTGTATTTGCGCGTTAAGAGACAGTCAGAGGAGTTGACAGCAATTATGTATATAGTATACACATTGGTTGCGAAAGAGAGGCGCGAACATGTAGCCTACGCGTTGTGTTGATAAAGGTCTAAACATTTATCCAGGATGAACCGTTCCAGTAAATCGTCATCTGAAAAACAGAAAAGAACCTGGATGAAGTATGCAGTGCTCTGCTGACAACAAGATGTAAGTCGAGACCGGTGAGCACAGTGGGAGAAACCAGAATTGAAACCTGCGGTGCTTCAGTGAAGGTAGGCTTGGAATGAAGATTTGCTTATTTTGTTAAATTTGTCCTTGAAATACTGTAGTTTGGTGTCGGCATCTGCATGCGGTTTGTTTTTCAACCATGTTTTCTAAATATGTCCTTGTTTTTGCTTGAGCAAATAGGCAGTGCAATAAAGTTGTATAACATTTTACGTCAGACTGATGATGTGTACTGAAATGTTTCTACCAATACTGGCGGCAGTTAGGCTATATAATATAATAACTTTTTTCTAAGAGGGAACTTCTGTGATTGTCATGTAGGCTATGATTTTTCAGCACTGGTCAACATTAACATAATTGCAACCATTTTGTGAGCTTGTGACTATGATGATTATCAAGGTTTTCTGTTTTTCCTTGTATTACCCATATCGTTAATCTCTCTTTTGAACAAGGCATCTTTCCCAAGGGCATGAAACAAGCTAAAGTTATACCCCTGTATAAGAAGGGGATAAAGTCTGACCCAGGGAATTGTAGGCCTGTATCTATCCTCAGTGTAACATCAAAGATCCTGGAGAGAGTTGTACATGACCAAATGTATGAATGTGTCAACAAACAAATTCTAAAGTATAATTTTCAGTCAGGGTTTAGAAAAATTTACTCCACTGATTCAGGTCTACTTTACTTGACTGACTTCATCAGGGAAGAGATTGATGAGGGAAATATTTGTGGAATGGTGCTGCTTGACCTACAGAAGGCCTTTGATACAGTTAACCACTGTCTCCTAATCTCCAAACTTGAGGCACTGGGGTTAAGCAGTATCCCTCGAGGCTGGGTAAAGTCCTACTTGTCAGGTAGGGAGCAAGTGGTAGAGGTTAATGGTTCACTGTCTCAGGCAAGACCAATGAGTTGTGGCGTTCCGCAGGGGAGTGTGCTTGGGCCTCTACTGTTTTTACTGTATATTAACGATATGAAAGATGCTTGTTCTTGACGTCTTTTCCTTTATGTGGATGACTCTACTCTTACATTTACATTTTAGTCATTTAGCAGACGCTCTTATCCAGAGTGCATAATTTACAAAACATTTTTTTAAATACTTCTGGTGTCTCATAAAAGTACAACTATGTTGGAGAGCATGCTTAGCACAGAGCTTACTAACATTAGCAAATGGCTTGGAGATAATAAGATATATCTGTACTTAGGTCAAACTGAGGCAATTATTTTTGGTTCCCGACCTAAATTGTGTAGGTCCTCTTCTAATCAGATTGGAGTTAGGGGGTGAGGTGCTGAATACTAAAACCTCTGTTAGCTACCTGGGATGCATGCTTGATGGAAGCTTGGAGGGGGGGTGTGAGCATGGCCACTAACGTGCTAGGGAAGGTTAATGCCAGGACCAAGTTTTAGCTAGAAAGTCCAAGCTGCATGATAAGGACTCCACGAGAGTGCTAGCCTCTGCCTTCATTCAATTTTGACTACTCTAGTACTTCCTGGTTTGGGGGCTCATCTAAAACTTCTGAAGGCGAAGCTCCAGATAGCCCAGAATAAACTGATCAGGGTAGTGTTGAAGGAGGGTCCATGTACACACATAGGCAGGCGCTGCTTTCAGGAACTGAACTGGCTGCCTGTTGAGGCTAGGGTGTCCCAGATTAGACTGGGTCTGGTTTAATTGGGGTGTCGCAGATTTAGACTGGGTCTGGTTTAATTGGGGTGTCCCAGATTAGACACGGGTCTGGTTTAATTAGGGTGTCCCAGATTAGACACGGGTCTGGTTTAATTGGGGTGTCCCAGATTAGACACGGGTCTGGTTTAATTAGGGTGTCCCAGATTAGACACGGGTCTGGTTTAATTAGGGTGTCCCAGATTAGACACGGGTCTGGTTTAATTGGGGTGTCCCAGATTAGACACGGTCTGGTTTAATTGGGGTGTCCCAGATTAGACACGGTCTGGTTTAATTAGGGTGTCCCAGATTAGACACGGGTCTGGTTTAATTAGGGTGTCCCAGATTAGACACGGGTCTGGTTTAATTAGGGTGTCCCAGATTTAGACTGGGTCTGGTTTACAGGAGTATTTATGGTTCTGCACCCAGATATCTGACTGGTTACTTTTCCCATGTTAGGGATGCACACAACCACAGCACCAGATCAGGTGTTGCTAATGTGCTTATACAGGTTCAGGAGTAATGCTGGGAAAGGTACTTTCTTGCCTAGCCTCAGAGTGGAATGAGTTGCCTCTGCCCATAAAAACGACATCCTCTCTGGGAAGCTTTAAAAATAAAGTTAAAAAACTGTCTGTCTTCTGTGCCCATTTGAATGTCCCCTATGATGTAACTGCAACGATTAGATATATGTTCTCCTTTGTTTTTATGTTGTATTATCACGCTGCCATACTGTGTTCCATCGTGTCGATCTTGCCTAGCCATCTTGTCTCAAGAGGATCACTGTAACGGAGACGCAGTGAGTCAGGAAGCAGGTGCAGTCGGTGAGTTTAATAGGAACGAACATGGCGTGAATACAAAAACGGGAGTAGCGTCTAAACATGAAACAAGGAAACAATACGACCTAATGGGTGATACAACGGAGTGCTAGATAAAGGGGAAGTAATCAGGGAGTGATGGAGTCCAGGTTTGCCTCATGATGGTTGCCAGGAGTGCGTAATGATGGTTGCCAACAGTGCGTAATGATGGGTTGCCAGGACGGTGGTTAGTAGACCGGCGACATGGAGCGGGAGTAGACGTGACAATAACAATAGAATATGTCCCAGACTATTATGTTATCCTCTATGATTTTACTCATGTCCATGTATGGCTTGTTTTATGTGTGCTTGTCTTTTTTAAAATGGTCGAATTAATAAACTTAAATCTACTTATAGATTGATTTGAGTGAGTGTGGGGTGTCAATTATTTTTTGAAAAAGCGACTGTTTATTCCAATTATGTGATAATTTGCTATTACAAGCACTTCCAACCAGCTATACTAGATTATTAATCAGAGAATAATGTGTTCCTGCTGGATCTAGCAGCTTTACTGAAATGATCATTAAGATGGTTCGGAAATGTCTAGTATTATGTCAATATAAGTCTATTGATGAAATGATATACAGTTGAAGTCGGAAGTTTACATACACCTTAGCCAACTACATTTAAACTCAGTTTTTCACAATTCCTGACATTTTAATCCTAGTAAAAATTCCCTGTCTTAGGTCAGTTAGGATCACCACTTTTTATTTTAAGAATGTGAAATGTCAGAATAATAGTAGAGAGAATTATTTAGTTAAGCTTTTATTTATTTCATCACATTCCCAGTGGGTCAGAAGTTTACATACACTCAATTAATATTTGGTAGCATTGCCTTTTAAATTGTTTAACTTGGGTCAAACGTTTCGGGTAGCCTTCCACAAGCTTCCCTAAATAAGTTGGGTGAATTCTGGACCATTCCTCCTGACAGAGCTGGTGTAACTGAGTCAGGTTCGTAGGCCTCCTTGCTTGCACACACTTTTTCAGTTCTGCCCACACATTTTCTAAAGGATTGAGGTCAGGGCGTTGTGATGGCCACTCCAATAACTTGACTTTGTTGTCCTTAAGCCATTTTGCCACAACTTTGGAGTATGCTTGGGGTCATTGTCCATTTGGAAGACCCATTTGCGACCAAGCTTTAACTTCCTGACTGATGTCTTGAGATGTTGCTTCAATATATCCACATAATTTTCCTTCCTCATGATGCCATCTATTTTGTGAAGTGCACCAGTCCCTCCTGCAGCAAAGCACCCCCACAGCATGATGCTGCCACCCCCATGCTTCACGGTTGGGATGGTGTTCTTCGGCTTGAAAGCAACCCCCTTTTTCCTCCAAACATAACAATGGTCATTATGGCCAAACAGTTCTATTTTTGTTTCATCAAACCAGAGGACATTTCTCCAAAAAGTACGACCTTTGTCCCCATGTGCAGTTGCAAACTGTAGTCTGTCTTTTTTATGGGGGATTTGGAGCAGTGGCTTCTTCCTTGCTGAGCGGCCTTTCAGGTTATGTCGATATAGGACTCGTTTTTACTGTGGATATAGATCATTTTGTACCTGTTTAGAGTTATGCATATTGTAAAACAGTGTCTCTGTTTGTTGTCCCCATGCAGGCAGCCCCCGTCTGATGGAGAGGTCGTCTTCTACAACCAGGCGTCAGGCCTGGTTCCAGACCGGTCGCCAGTGGCCTACCCTGAAAGAACAAGATCCACAGGGACCTCCATCCACCCATCCGTCTGTTCCACACCAGTCTGCATCAGAGGATGACGTCTTCTCAGATGGTCAGTTCTCATTTCGGTATTTTGATAAAGAGTTTACATTTGAGTGGCATTGCTGCATTACTGCATAATATCTATTGAACAACAACAGGCAGGAGGTTAAAACTCCCTAACAACAACAACAACAACAGGCAGGAGGTTAAAACTCCCTAACAACAACAGGCAGGAGGTTAAAACTCCCTAACAACAACAACAACAACAACAACAACAGGCAGGAGGTTAAACTCCCTAACAACAACAGGCAGGAGGTTAAAACTCCCTAACAACAACACTGTTTAGTCTAGTATATTTACAAGTCACAATATGTGGGCCGCTGTATGGTGCATCACAGCTTTACGACAAAACAGAGCAAAAACAGTGTAAGAAGTGTTAATTTGCTGAATGCTCACCCAGACTGTTCTATATCTGTTTCCACAGGATGCTCAGCAGGAAAGATTGAGAGCTGGCTGCTGGGCTGTGGGTGAGTGAGCATGCCGTGCAAGGTTTGACTTTGAAATGAAAAAACTTCAGAGAAAGACTCGGTAGGCAAGGATGATGCGTCAGTGGAAGCTAAAGGTTGAGGGAAACCGCCCACAGTGTGGGGGGAAATGTTACAGACGTGAATTGCCAGTATTAGGTTGTGCTTGAAAATAGATGCCTTCTGTTTAGGATATGGATACAGGTCAATGGCATGGCCCAAAGGGGATTCTTGAGTCAGTTCCAAAACACCTTGGTTCTAGAACTAGTTGTGTTCTATTTATAATGTTGGACATTCTATTTCCGAACTTCCTTTTGGTGTTTATAGTCTCAGGTTTCCATCATATTTGGTAGAATAGTACTGTTTGTTCTGTTGATTCCTCCAGTTATGTTTAACGGTAAATAGCAGCCATGTTAGCACAGAAAAGCAATTGTTGTGTAACTGGATGGAAACTTTAGTATTGTGTAATTACATATGTATTACCAATGATCATAGATTACTTGGTTGCGACTCTATTTGCAACATGATGTCATGAACGCAAGTCGAATTGCTCAAGTAGTCTGAAAACGTGGCTTAAAGGGACATGTGAACTTGGATTATTACTTTGGGGGGGGGGGGGGGGTTTGTCAGATAAATTAGATAAGAAATGGGGTGTTCTTAAAACATCAGATTAACTTGACTTAACTATCTGACACTCCACTTGAGAGCATTTCCTCTGTAGGAAGTGAACAAACTTGTAAAAGCTATAGCTCTGCTGGACAGACTGGGATGATAGCTGGCTAGAGATGATCCCTATAGGTTTGACCCTGTATAGTAACTCACTGTTGGCTGGGCTCCCTGCCTGTGCCATTAAACCCCTACAACTCATCCAGAATGCCGCAGCCCGTCTGGTGTTCAACCTTCCCAAGTTCTCTCACGTCACCCCGCTCCTCCGCACACTACACTGGCTTCCAGTTGAAGCTCGCATCTGCTACAAGACCATGGTGCTTGCCTACGGAGCTGTGAGGGGAACGGCACCTCCGTACCTTCAGGCTCTGATCAGTCCCTACACCCAAATGAGGGCATTGCGTTCATCCACCTGTGGCCTGCTGGCTCCCCTACCTCTGCTGAAGCACAGTTCCCGCTCAGCCCAGTCAAAACTGTTCGCTGCTCTGGCACCCCAATGGTGGAACAAGCTCCCTCACGACGCCAGGACAGCGGAGTCACTCACCACCTTCCGGAGACATTTGAAACCCCACCTCTTTAAGGAACACCTGGGATAGGATAAAGTAATCCTTCTAATCCCCCCCCCTTACCCCACCCCACCCCCCAAAAAATAAATAAATAAATAAATAGTAAAGTGGTTATCCCACTGGCTATAAGGTGAATGCACCAATTTGTAAGTCGCTCTGGATAAGAGCGTCTGCTAAATGACGTAAATGTAGTAAAGATACAGTAGGTCTGGTTTGACCTGGATGTGTTTAACACAGAGAGGGCAAAGCTTAAGCAACCATTAACAATCTATCTAACAGACAGTAGTATTTATTCATTCCAACTGCAGCTGATCACTGGGGCTAGATAGCCAGTCAGGAAATATATATATATATATATCAGTCAAAAGTTTGGACACATCTACTCATTCCAGGGTTTTTCTTTGTTTTTACTATTTTCTACGTGGTAGAATAATAGTGAAGACATCAAAACTATGAAATAACACATATGTAGTAAACAAAAAAAAAGTGTTAAACAAATCAAAAATATATTCAAAGCCACCCTTTGCCTTGATGACAGCTTTGCACACTATTGGCATTCTCTGAACCAGCTTCATGAGGTAGTGACCTGGAATGCATTTCAATTAACAGGTGTGCCTTGTTAAAAGTTCATTTGTGGAATTTCTTTCCTTCGTAATGCATTTGAGCCAATCAGTTGTGTTGTGACAAGGTAGGGGGGGTATACAGAAGATAGCCCTATTTGGTAAAAGACCAAGTCCATATTATGGCAAGAACAGCTCAAATAAGCAAGAGAAACAACAGTCCATCATTACTTTAAGACATGAAGGTCAGTCAATCCGGAACATTTCAAGAACTTTGAAAGTTTCTTCAAGTGCAGTCGAAAAAAACATCAAGCTCTATGATGAAACTGGCTCTCATGAGGACCACCACAGGAAAGGAATACCCAGAGTTACCTCTGCTGCAGAGGATAAGTTCATCAGAGTTAACTGCACCTTAGATTGCACCCCAAATAAATGCTTCACAGATTTCAAGTAACAGACACATCTCAACATCACCTGTTCAGAGGAGACTGCGTGAATTAGGCCTTCATGGTCAAATTGCTGCAAAGAAACCACTACTAAAGGACACCAATAAGAAGAAGAGACTTGCTTGGGCCAAGAAACATGACCAATGGACATTAGACAGGTGGAAATCTGTCCTTTGGTCTGATGAGTCCAAATTTGAGATTTTTGGTTCCAACCGCCGTGTCTTTATGAGACTGTCACGATCGTTGAACGGAGTAGACCAAGGCGCAGCGTGAAGAACAAACATTCTTTTATCTTTAGTGATAATCCAACAAAACAAAACGATGACGTGACATCCTAGGTTAAACAACCAACACGGAACAAACCAAACGGAACAAGATCCCACAACTATTGTGGGAAAACAGCCTGTTTAAATGTGGTTCCCAATCAGAGACAACCAGCCACAGCTGACACTCGTTGCCTCTGATTGAGAACCACACTGGCCAACATAGAAATAGAACACATAGAACTACAACACAGAACTAGAACACATAGAAACTACACACCCTGGCTCAACATATAGAGTCCCCAGAGCCAGGGTGTGACAGTACCCCCCCCCCCCCCCCCCCCCAAAGGCGCAGACTGCGACCGCGCCTCCACATAAACCAAACAGGGGAGGGCTGGGTGGGCATTCCTCCTCGGAGGCGGTTCCGGCTCCGGGCTTGCCCACCACCCTCCAATAATCCCCCCGTAGCGCCCCTGGTCCGGTCTGGCCCCGCTGGCTGGAGCTGGACTGGACATCGTAGGAGCGGATTGCTTAAGCTCCGGTGTGGAGCAGCTGACCGGTACCTGACCAGGCACCGGTGACCCAGGCACAGGTTGTGCCGGACTGACGACGCGCACCCCTGGCTTGGTGCGTGGAGCAGGAACGGGCCGGACCGGGCTGACGATGCGCACCCCAGGCTTGGTGCGTGGAGCAGCAACGGGCCGGACCGGGCTGACGATGCGCACCCCTGGCTTGGTGCGTGGAGCAGGAACGGGCCGGACCGGGCTGACGATGCGCACCCCTGGCTTGGTGCGTGGAGCCGGAACGGGCCGTACCGGGCTGACGATGCGCACCCCTGGCTTGGTGCGTGGAGCAGGAACGGGCCTTACCGGGCTGACGACTCGCACCCCTGGCTTGGTGCGAGTGGCAGGAACAGGCCGGGCCGGGCTGGCGACGCGCACCGTAGGCTTGGTGCGAGTGGCAGGAACAGGCCGGGCCGGGCTGGTAAGTCGCTCTGGACCATGTAAGTCGCTCTGGATAAGAGCGTCTGCTAAATGACTAAAATGTAATGTAAAATGTAAGACCTCTGCAAAGAGGCTCAAAGCTACATCAGGTTCAGGGATAGCTGAAATGCAATCAAGGTCACAAAAAAAAAAAAAGCCTGCTTTAATGAAGTTTTTAAAGTTCCTCTTTTGATGACACAAGGCTTAGATTGTTGTATTCGCACATCTCTAACGCAAACAACTGGGCAATGGTCACTAATGTCTTGGGTGAAAACACCAGTAGAAACATTTATCTGGTGTATTCGTTAAAATAAAATCAGAGTTGACTTTGAAGGATCTTTAGGGTTGGGCCGTGTAGGCTTAGTCACCAGCTGGGTTAGGTTTAGATCATTACACATTACTTTTAGATTGTCTGAAGCCTGCATTTCCCAATCATAATTTAAGTCACCCAGGATAATAACTTCTGATTTTAGTAAAAGAAGACAACAAACTAGTTAACTCATCGAGTGCACAAAGGTTAGCCGAGGGAGGATGGTAGACCCCTATAACAGCTATGGATACACTTTTCCTCAGACAAAGGCTTAAAGATATACTGAACAAAAATATGAACACAACATGCATCAATTTCAAAGATTTTACTGAGTAACTGTTCATATAAGGAAATCAGCCAATTGAAATAAATAAATTAGGCCCTACTGTATTGCCAAATTCTCTAAAACGACGTTGGAGGGGGGCTTATGGTAGAGAAATTAACATTCATTTTTCTGGCAACAGCTCTGGTGGACATTCCTGCAGTCAGCATGCCAATTGCACGCTTCCTCAAAACTTGAGACATCTTTGGCATTGTGTTGTATGACAAAACTGCAAATTTTAGTGGCCGTTTAGTGTCCCCAGCACAAGGTGCACCTGTGTAATGATCATGCTGTTTAATCAACTTCTTGATATGCCACACCTGTCAGGTGGATGGATAATTTTGGCAAAGGAAATGCTCACACTCAGGGATGTGTGTATATAATGATGGAATGTTATAAACTGACTTACATGGGCTGTGGTTGCTATGTGCAACAGCCCAAGCCCTCTACGTGATTTGAAAACCGAGGGGGGTATTCAAGTTTATGGAATTCACATTTGAACTAAAAACACTGGATGAGCAGACCACAGTGGGCTCCTCTTTTGAGCTAACAATAGCAGATCAAAGTGTAGAGTTCAAATGAATGGGGATAAGATTACAACTGACAGTATAGACAACAGGAAGACGATAATGCTGGGAGCAAATAGCCTACATAAAGAGCTGTCAACCACAAAGATTAAAAACCTGATGTATCCTCTTTGCTGACATCTGGGCCAAAATGGGTGAATCTGATTTAAAAACGCCTTAGTAGCAAAATGTCAGATATGAATATGCAAATAGTGGAATGTTGTAATAATAAAGATTTTGTTTTGGTGTGTAGGATTGGTAACAACATGTAACCTACATCTTCTCATTAGGCTGGAGACAGGCTCAGAAAACTCTAGTCATAATCTGACTGTTGGTAAGTCTGACAACAAAGCCACCATCACTGAATTCTACTGTCAGCATGGAGTCATGATATCATATCCTACTGGTCAGAACAGAACACTGATTTTAGTCTCTTCTGTCCCCTCCTCTCCTCTTCTGTCCCCTCCTCTCCTCTTCTGTCCCCTCCTCTCCTCTTCTGTCCCCTTCTCTCCCCTCCTCTCCTCTTCTGTCCCCTTCTCTCCCCTCCTCTCCTCTTCTGTCCCCTTCTCTCCCCTCCTCTCCTCTTCTCCCTCCTCTCCTCTTCTGTCCCCTTCTCTCCCCTCCTCTCCTCTTCTGTCCCCTTCTGTCCCCTCCTCTCCTCTTCTGTCCCCTTCTCTCCCGTTCTCTCCTCTCCTCTTCTGTCCCCTCCTCCTCTTCCAGAGTCTCTGCTGAAATTGAACAGTTTTGAAGATGACCTGAGTCTGGGGGCCGAGGGTGAGGATGAAAGAGAACATAAACCCATCGGCACAGACACACACACGTACACCCACACACACAGACACACACAGACACACACACACACGCACACACACACACACACACACACAGACACAGACACACACACACACACGCACACGTACCCACACACACACACACGTACCCACGTACCCACACACGTACACACACGTACACAGATAAAAACACACCATAGGAAATAATCAAAGCAGGAAATAGCTTTGAGGAACATTAGGAGAGCACCATGGATGTTTTGGGAAAGGTTATTTGAATCTTTGTTCCTGCTCGTGTGTGTGTGTGTGACCTTTATTAAGTCCATTATACCTGTTTGAATAGTGGAAGCTTTCATTTTTGCCATTTAAATCCAGAGTACAGGTCTGTGCATGTTGGTGAGATACCCCGTCCTCATGGCATAGGACTGCTTCTTCACTGCTAGTACATCAAGCCTGTGTAGCCTACTGTAGTTTACACTGCAATAAAACAAAAGGCTCATTGTAGTGTCAAACGTTCACCTCCTTCCTTGAGCTTCTGACGTGCATGTTATTTAGCTGACTGACTGACTCTCTCCCTAAGATTGGCCCGATATAGAAAGCAAAGATGAGGGCGTGTCTGAAACGAGATAAGCCATTGCTCACTGAAGCCTAGTCGCAACACAAAGGGCCAAATGTCACAAAAGACATTTCCCAAATCTTCTGGGGGGGAAAACACACACACACACACACACACACACACACAACCAGTATTCTCTTTTCACTCAAACTTTACTTTTCTTTAACGTTTTACAGCTACAGCATTAAATGTTGAGGAAGGAGTCTCAGAACTGGGGTAAGAAAATATCAACATGAAGAATATGTGGATTCATTACATAAATGATATCTAAACGTCTTTCCTATTTTAGAGAGGAGGTTTAGTCAAGTATGGTTGAAGTGACACGAGTTGACCTGCTTTTATCTCCCCATGGTGGTGCCTGCTGGCTAAATGGTGCCTGTGTAGGAGCTGCCCACTGCTGCTTCCGCCACCCAAGCATCCTCACAGAGGAGTCACCACCAGGTCAGTGCCCACTGGCCACCCACAGTAGATGTGTCAATTGTACAAAGTACTACACATGGCAAGGTACATTTTATATTCTGGAGTTTATTTTTATTTTTTACAATGCATCTTTATGCATTTTCCCAGCTACTAGCACATTAAATACGGGTACATTAAGATATGACTTCTGTTGAATACAGGCATAATAATAGCATGCATCAACCAACCATTACATTGTTATTAGAACCTTTCTGGTTTGTTTTGTTTATTTTTGTCTATCTGCAGTACTCCCCGCCAGAGGCTGGCTCTGCCCCTTCTCCACCTGGGTCACAGTATGGCCTCCAGTGGGGTCTCCAAAAGCACCTGTAAAGCATCAAGGTGAGTTAGGACCAACCACTCAGCCTGATGTTAGGACCAACCACTCAGCCTGATGTTAGGACCAACCACTCAGCCTGATGTTAGGACCAACCACTCAGCCTGATGTTAGGACCAACCACTCAGCCTGATGTTTCAGTCTAACAGTAGATATAGAACAACACCACTGAGAATGCTTTAAACATAAATTCAGTCAGTAGATCTCTCTCTCTTCCTCTATCTCTCTGTCCCCGCTCTCTCTTTTTTTCTATCTGTCTCGCTGACTCATCACCTACACACACACACACACACACACCCCAGTGTGTCGGAGGCGCTGCAGATGTGTGCGGAGGATGCAGAGGAGACTCTGTACCAATTAGGGTTTTGGTTGTGATGAGCCTGAGGTCACGGCCCGTATCCCTACCCGCTTCATCAACTTCCCCTCCCATGCCCACGGCATCAACCTCCGCCTCTTTCTCCAGTCCCAACTGAGCCGGCTCCGACAGGAGGACCCAGGACTCTCCCTGGCCAGTAAGACACACACACACACACACACTCACACCAATGTGTCGGACTCCCACCCACACTACTGTGGTCATCACCATCACACAACACCCACAGCCAAGATATAGATAGTCTGAATATGACTCTGCTATCATTTACATAACTGTAGTTATGTAGCACTCAGCTTCATTTACATAACTGTAGATAGCACTTTTCATGCATTTCAGTTCAAAAAGTTTCATCACTAAATCAAAGTGTACAATGGACAACTACATCTACAGACAGATGGCGTCTACATGATTCAGCATGGGATACAGTGCCTTCGCAAAGTATTCTCACCCCTTGACTTATTCCACATGTTGTTGTGTTACAGCCTGAATTCAAAATTGATTATGTCTATTTCTTTCTCTCACCCATCGACATAAAATACCCCATAATGACAAAGTGAAAACATGTTTTTAGCACATTTATTGAAATGTAATTCAGAAATATCTCAATTATACTGAACAAAAATAAAAAACGCAACATGCAACAATTTCTATGGTTTTACTGAGTTACAGTTCATATAAGGAACTCAGTCAATTGAAATACATTTTCCCCACAAAATAGCTTTATTATAGACAGAAATACTCCTCAGTTTCATCAGCTGTCCGGCTGGCTGGTCTCAGATGATCCCGCAGGTGAAGAAGCCGGATGTGGAGGTCCTGGGCTGGCGTGGTTACACGGGGTCTGCGGTTGTGAGGCTGGTTGGACGTACTGCCAAATTCTCTAAAGCAAAGTTGGAGGTGGCTTATGGTAGAGAAACGTTAAATTCTCTTATTTGAGCATAAAAGCGTTTCCACCGACATTTCTCGCATAGTTCATTTTACCGACACAAAATGATCCCGCCTTGTCTAGTGTATTTTGTTTTGTCAAATATTTGCTTCCATCAGGCCTGTCGTGACACTTTTTTTTTAATCCAACGTACTTTTTACTCGCATAAAAAGGTTGGATGGAAACTTGTCACGATCGTTACAGGAAGATACGGACCAAGGCGTAGCGTGATAAGCGTACATCTTTATTTAGTACACAACACGAACCAAAACAACAAACAAACGATACGTGAAGTCCTAGGTTACACTAAACAAACCTTTCGGAACAAGATCCCACACCGACTAGTGCCAAACGGGATGCCTAAGTATGGTCCCCAATCAGAGACAACGAGCTACAGCTGTCTCTGATTGGGAACCACCCTGGCCAACATAGAAACTAAACGATCTAGAACAAAACATAGAAAAACTAAACATAGAGCATCCACACCCTGGCTCAACAATTAAGAGTCCCCAGAGCCAGGGCGTGACAAAACATGGTTATTGTCCTGCTGAAAGGTGAATTCATCTCCCAGTGTCAGGTGGAAAGCAGACTGAATCAGGTTTTCCTCTAGGATTTTGCCCGTGCTTAGCTCCATTACATTAATTTTTTTATCCTGAAAAACTCCCCAGTCCTTAACGATTACAAGCATACCCATAACATGATGCAGCCACCACTATGAAAATATGGAGAGTGGTACCCCGTAATGTGTTGTATTGGATTTTCTCCAAACATAAACTATTCAGGACAAAAAGTGTATTGCTTTGCCACATTTTTTGCAGTATTACTTTAGTGCCTTGTTGCAAACAGATGCGTGTTTTGGAATATTTTTATTCTGTATTGTGGAGGAACTACAATGTTGTTGATCCATCCTCAGTTTTCTCCTTTCACAGCCATTAAACTATGTAACTGTTTTAAAGTCACCACTGGCCTCATGGTGAAATCCCTGAGCGGTTTCCTTCCTCTCTGGCAAATGAGTTAGGAAGGACGCCTGTATCTTTGTAATGACTGGGTTTATTGATACACCATCCAAAGTGTAATTAATAACTTTACCATGCTCAAAGGGATATTCAATGTCAGCTTTTATTAAAAAATGTACCCATCTACCAATAGGTGTCCTTTGCGAGGCATGTGTTTGAAATTCACTGCTCAACTTACTGATAATTGTATGTGGGGTACAGAGATGGGTTAGTCGTTCAAAATCATGTTAAACACTATTATTGCACACAGTGTTATGTGACTTGTTAAGCAAAATATTACCCCTGAACTGATTAGTCTCGTCATAACAAAGGGGTTGATTACTCAAGACATTTCAGCTTTTCGTATTTAATTAATTTGTAAAAATATCAAAAAACATAATTCCACTTTGACATTATGGGGTATTGTGTTTAGGCCAGTGACAAAAGAAATCTAAATGTAATCCATTTTAAATTCAGGCTGTAACACAGCAACATGTGGAAAACGTCAAGGGGTGAGAATACTCTCTGAAGGCACCGTAGTATGTTGCTCCACCAATCAGTCCTGATACTGATACAATACATCATACTCAGTCTTTCCTATCAACATTTCACATCTCTCATTGTCCTCTGTGTTAGGCAGCCAGCACATTCCAAACAAACTCGTCCTTTCTCTTTCGATTTCCCTGATGAACGTTTCTTCCCCCCCTGCAGGTCGTTTCAGGCAGGTGGAGGTGCTGACAGCCATGGCCAACGCCTTCTACTCCCTCTACTCCCACGTGTCCCGCACGCCCCTCCAGAAGCTCGCCCCTCCCGAGTTCAGCTTCTCTCCCACCGCCGACGGGCAGATTGGACGGCGTTTCATGGGAAGCGTCCGCAGCGAACCGAGGTCTCCAGTGGAGCGACTCAAGGACACGGTTTCTAAGATGTGCCTGTATACTGGCTCTGGGGGTTCCGCCCGGCTGGGCTCGGACTCTGCCTGCCCCAGACCAGGATTCTCCCCCGGGCCCGGGTCTGGGTCGGCCCCCAAGAAGAGAAGCAGCCTGCCTGACTTGATGGGACTGGTCCTGGAGAACACCAAGGCAGAGCCTGTATCCAGAGACATGGAGGAGGATAATCAGGATACAGGGGACAGTAATGAGACGAGTGCTGCTGTGGAAACGAGTGCTATGGTAAAGGATAGAGAGACAGAGACACAAGGAGACGTAGACAGGGAGGGGGAGCAGCGGTTGTTGTCCGATGTACAGGATATGGACAATGGTGATAGTAATGCGACAAGTGCTGTGGGCACACGTATGGTCAGGGACAGAGAGGCAGAGACACCGGGACATAGAGACACAGTCGGGGACAAGGAGTTGGATCAGAAATCATCATCAGATAGGGCTGATTTAGAGCGAGATAGAGATCCTGTCAGAACACCCAACCTTGGGGCATCATCACTTTCAGAATCCGGTCATCAAAGAGAGCCCAGTAGTAGGAAGAAGCTGAACTTTTGCCTTACTACTCCGAGTCCTACTTGTGAGGTTGGAGAAACTCAAAACACAATTCATCCCACAGGCTGGGCAATGGTAGTGGCACCGGTCGCCAAGGTTACCCATGACGTCACCCGTCCTCAGATCGTTGAGAGTGTTCACCAGGCTCCGTACAGCAGTCAACTACAACAGTGGAATAATAACACACAGGCAGCGGCCATTTTGTCATCTGTTATCTCCTCTGAGAACGTCAGATCTGACCGATCCTTCACCACATCAGACAGACTGCACGAACCCAGGGAGGAGTGCTTAGCTACCAGTAACTCAGCCAAGAGTTTAGAGGTCGCAGTAACTCCCATTTCAAAGGCTGAGTCTAAGGTTGAATCCAATTTGGGAGAAACTGGAACACTGGTGGTGTCAACGTTCGTGCCCATAGAGCTCCCTAGTTGCAGGAAGTCCCCTTGTCTCATCATTGTTACTGATGTGATGCCTTCTAGTTCTTTAGACACAGATGCACCCGAGATGGTTCTCCCTCCCTGTGGTGGGACCACAGCGTTGCCTCCAGCAGCCCAGTGTTATCCAGGTGTATGGAGGAACAAGACGTACCTGAGTCCTCTGAAACCACCACCACTCCAGGGGCAAGGGCAGGTCTCCCACACTATTCAACAGGCTAACTCCTTTGAGCTAGAGGAGGTAAGTGACAGAATTGTTTTGGATTGACCTATATGGCGCACCGTACTCCAGTCTCTGAGTTCCTAGGGCTGATACACACATCTAGCTGGTGTAGTCCATTACCTATCCACCCTTGCCTGCCTGACATATACTTGGGCCAGGAGTTTTTCCTGACTACCTGTTTTCCAATAGGTACATAGTGCAGGGGAGGAAGACTTTGGACAGCAAGAAACCATAAGGTCAATATCTTTGTCACGGTCTACTGTCAATCAAAACAAAGGTGAGGTCATAGTCTTGATTGACATCATCGTCATAGTCAGTTGAACCGAGTGATATTAAGTGTACATCTGCTCACTACACTCTTAGAAAAAAGGGTGCTATCTAGAACCTAAAACGGTTCCTTGGCTGTCCCCATAGGATAACCCTTTGAAGAAGCATTTTGGGTTCCATTTAGAACCCTTTTGGTTCCAGGTAGAACCTTTTTGTGTTCCATGTAAAACCTGGAACTAAAAAGGGTTCTCCTATGGGGACAGCCGAAGAACCCTTTTGGAACCCTTTTTTTTTTTAAAGAGTGTAGTACCAAAGTAGTTGTTTAGAGAAAGATGACAGATTAGCGTGATTCAGAGCAGCCAAAGTGCTGAATGTGACTTTAGTTTAATCTCACAGGAACATGCACCCATTTCAAGTTAGTTTGAAGTGAATGTGGTTGATACAGTAGCTGAAATGGGCAGTGCTGCTGTTACATTAGCTGCGAATGAGTTGCTCTGTGTGTGTGTGTGTGTGTGTGTGTGAAGAAAAGTGTGTTCACAACTTGTACCCACACTTTCTCGTAAGAATCATTTCTCCCATTAATTTTTCTTCAAGAATGTCAGCTGAGGAAAGTATGGGCAGATTTCTGGTTGACCCTGCATGTTTTTTATTCTGGGAAGTAGTGTAGGCCTGATATGCTGAAAGCCATGAGAAGAATAGGACTGTATCCATCGGTGTTGTAGGTCTGGCGGTAGTTCAAGAGTTAAGTGACGTGTGAGAGTATGGCCGTCTGTGTGTAGACCTGTGTTTTTCTTTCTGTAGGTCTGGTGATTCGAGGGGACAGCATGCAGTCAGACAGTAGTGGCTACGCTGATGAAGACATCTACTCCCCTGACAGAGACAAGCTGACAGACACTGCCCCTACAGGGAACTCTTGAGAATTATTTATTTGAATGAGTCACACAAACATATTTCAGCCACTGAAGGTATATATTCAACAGATATGGATTGTTTGATTTATGAAGAGGTTTGTTAAGTGTTAATGACATCATGAATCGGGTGGCGTCATTCCGAATACACCCACGTAACACCGGTGCTTTGACTGAGTGCAGACAGTTGTCTTCCGTCGGATAACGCATTGCCCCGAAGGTATATTTAACACACAGGTCAAGTTGCAGCCTGACTTGATGTGCAGGCATTGCGTTGCATCAACCATAGCCTGTGGCGCACAGACTATGCAGTCAAGTGGCGGTTAGCTGATATGTTAAATACTTACCCAGGCGTCGTAAGATCTGGCAGTGTAGTCGGACAGGAAGTCAACCCTTCGGTTTGATTGTGGAGACTGTCCTATGTCCATAGTGTTACTGTTGATGACAATCAATCCATGCACAAGATGCTACTGCTGTGCCTTTGTGAAAGTTATTTATGGATGTTTTAAAGATAAATGTTTTAAAATTAAGAATCAATATTAAAGTGACTTCAATAAACATTTATCTGCACTGAAATCTCAAGTATTTTATTCAAAAAAGGGAACAAATTCAACAGTGATAATAGGTCACATTTCAGTTCAACTTTGTATTTGGGCAACAACACTTTACACAAAATCAAAACATTGGTACTTCTAACTTCAGCGCTGTTTCGATCTCACTGCTTGCTCATCGTGAGATGTAGCAGCAGTCTCCCATGTGGCCTATTATGGTCAGTATACTTCCGACACAACTATTCTTACTTTACCTCCCATATGAAGACATCAAGGCTTGACTTTCTGTATCTGAACTGGTGGGAGTAGACATGGGTGGATAGAGAGTTCAGGCTACACATTTAGCATGTAACAGAGGTAGACGAGGAGATTAGTCAGCCGGTGTGCAAGAGAATCCAACCTAGATGACTGACTACATTAAATGCAGCAATACAGTTCCATCTCAATTAGATGCTAGCCTGGTCTCAGATGTTTGTGCTTTTGCATACTCCATTGTTTGACATGGCAATTCCATAAGGAGTTGGCAAGAGACCATGAACAACAGACTGGCACCCAGGCTAATTAGATGGTCCATTTCAGACATGATATTATGAACACAACCACGGTTGAGGTTAGTAATATTATCAATTTCAATTCAATGAGGGGCCATTGACATGGTTTCTGAGAGCAACCAGCTACTCAAACATAAGATAACATTGCTTCAACAGCTATTAAAACTTCGGACATCCTAAAATTACCAATTTTATTCACAATGTCATGTGAGGTCTGACAATTAACAAACTCAATGGTAATTTCCCAATGTTTAAAATGTAATTCCAATACTCATAAAATAACATTTTGCACTTCAGATGTTAAGCAATCACAATTAAAAGTGTCCACGTTATCAGAATACTCTTCTAAAAGGCCAATTACTACACACTTCCGTATCATCCAACTAACAAAAAGGCATGTAAAACAGGTGGGGTGAGTCTTGTCGTCTTGGCAATAAAAGTACACAAGGCTCCAATTTTAAAGTATTCACGTCGTAAATGTCCACTTTTCAATGTCCAAAATTAGACTTCATTCGGGCCAAGACCATTTCCTCAATCGTTATCCAGGTGAAGTGACGAGGAGGGGGAAGGGGGGGGGGGGGGGTTTAGTTGATGAAAGTACTAGCTAATGAAAAGGCAACTAAAAAAGGGTCATTGAGGCTACAGTAAAATTGGGGTTCTTTTAAAATGTATTTCTCTTTCCCTACAGAGTTTATCTCTAGGCAAATAAATGGCCAGTGTAGCCAATCAAGAGGGCATTAAGGGCTGTGTGGGATATCTTCAGGGCATAGGGACAAATTATCTAGGGCTATCCCATATCTTCAGGGGCATTAAGGAATTAACAAACCCACAGATAGGAGGACTCCGGGGATGTGTGTGGGCTGTAGGGGGACAAATTCCAATTCCCATGGGTAATTCTGGGTCAATCAATGGTCACTTCCCTTGACCACCATTGGTTGGAAGATGCTTCCACCCTCCGTGGTGGATGTCATATGATCAGGGTCTAAGGTCGTTGACATGGAGAGTGAGGTCAGTCTGGGAGACGGTCACTTCCCCCCAGCCATGATTTTGAGGTACTGCAGTGCATTGTGGGCTGCGCTGGCGCGGGCAGCGTCCTGATTGGGTGCGAAGCCGTGGCACACTGTGATTGGCTGAGTGGATAGCTCTACCAGACACTGGCACAGACCGCTCAGACTGCGCTCCTCTGGAACAACAAGGAAACCCACATTAGGTTCATATACTAAAGAACTCTGATCACAGCCTGGTCACGTATTCACAAAGAGTGCTGGTTTAGGATCAGTTTAGCATTGTATTATTTTACCATGTTTTGTCATTTTTTGTTGGGGTGGGGGGTGTTACAGGTACATTATTTATATATATATATATATATATATATATATATATATATATATATATATCTACATTTACATTTACATTTTAGTCATTTAGCAGACGCTCTTATCCAGAGCGACTTACAGTTAGTGAGTGCATACATCATTTTTTTTTTTATACTGGCCCCCCATGGGAACCGAACCCACAACCCTGGCGTTGCAAACGCCATGCTCTACCAACTGAGCGACATCCCTGCCAACCATTCCCTCCCTTACCCTGGACGACGCTGGGCCAATTGTGCGCCGCCCCATGCGTCTCCCGGTCGTGGTTGGCTACGACACAGCCTGGATTCGAACCAGGATCTCTAGTGGCACAGCTAGCACTGCGACGCAGTGCCTTAGACCACTGCGCCACTCGGGAGAATCTATCTATATCTATTTATATATATCTATATCTATCGATATCTATATATCTATATCTATATCTATATATGCCATTTAGCAGACGCTTTTATCCAAAGCGACTTACAGTCATGCGTGCATACATGTGTGTACGGGTGGTCCCGGGGATCGAACCCACTACCTTGGCGTTACAAGCGCCGTGCTCTACCAGCTGAGCTACAGAGGGCCACCCATCCCATTATCCATTTCAATACGGTAAAACATGTACCTACCATGTTGCTGCCACTCAAAAGAAAAACGAAGTATTTCTTACTGTTTAGGTAATAATACATTCAGTATAAACAAGAATAAAACAAAGTGAACCTCCACCCCCAACCTCTTCTCCCATTCCCAGAAACCATGTTTCCACCCCCAACCTCTTATCCCATTACCCAGAAACCATGTTTCCACCCTTCCCACCACCCCTAGCAACTAGGGTAGCTCGTCAGTTACACCCCAGACCTCTCCCGGCAACCAGATAAAACCGTCCCCCATACCACCCCTTCCCTGTGGGACTATTTTGTATTTGTTGGGCTTTATGGATTGTTTATTTGTATGTGTGGGGCTTTAGCCGAGATTACTCTTTACAGGGTCAAGTATATTTTTTCCAGGCCTCAATTGTTCTTGACTAGCACCATTCATTCTCGCTGTCGATCATTCTAATGTTATAACTTCTAATAGTAAGTGTATCCACTAGCGAATTGCGAGTGTGAGGTGATTGCCATCTAAGAGTAATCGTCTCAGAGATTCAAGGCGCTATCATAGTTAAGTAACATAATAGATGAAAAGCATTTAATATTTACATGCAACTTTACCCCAGAAGCATTTAACTGCAGGTCACTCCCACATCATATGAAGGAATGTGCCTTCCTGATTTAGGGGACTTAGTGAACAGTTGGGAGTTGGGGCCAATTTCAACGTAAAACGTTTCCTTGGTGTTAAATACAGTCTGAACAAAAAAACGTAAAATGTATAAATTGATGGTTCGGATTATGGGGTGCCAAGGTCATATTTTTATATATTCTGTTCCAGTTAAAGGGTTGTTCAGATTCAATTAGTTCTGCGGACCATACATTTTTAACTGGCTAGCTCAGAATTAACTTTCCAGAAGTTGTTTATATATTATAGAGATCAGTCCTTTCGGGAGCCCAATAGCATTTTTGATCACAATGAAAAATATTATATGGACTGGGATGTGATCGTAGATAAGCACTCCTACCGCAGAGATAGTTTTTGAAAACAGGAATCTATGTGAATTGGCCCCGGGGGGGGTTGGGGGGGATATTATTTACCTATGTCGAGGTAGCTGACGTCGAAGCGCTGCTCCTCTGAAAGGTCGTGGAGCAGAGAGCAGAAGTTAGAGCTAGGCATGCCCAGCGGGTGGCTTCTCAGCTGTAGCATCTTCTCCCCAGCAGAGTTCCTCAGAGAGTCCCAGGTACAGCCCAGACCTTTACACTTCCCTGCCTCCGCCCTGCTGCCCATGTTCTGCCCACCAGAGGAGACAAAGGTACCACGAGTCAGACGCGCCAGCATCATACGCTCACATGCACTTCGCTACACCCGCAATAACGTCTGCTAAACGTGTATGCGACCAATAAAATTTTGATTTATTTATTTATTACAGGAAAGTCTTAATAACAGACACTTATTTGCAATGATGACCTGTCAGGAAGCGAGCACAGCAGCGATATTGTCTTAGAAAGGCCATCAACAGGCACCATGCTCTGTCTCACCATGTTAAAGGTGTCGTCCTCAGCCTCAGTCTCATGGCTGCTCCTCAGGTCCACAGGAACATCATGGATCCTGGACAACATCTTAGCTGCCGCGTTCCGTTTGGCTAGCTTCTTCGATGTGCCACTGCCTGTGGGAGCGATAGGATGGATGTTAGTGCGAAGACACAGAATCGTTTCATATAACAGTTTCCCAAACCTCTCAAGTACCCCCAGCCGTTCCATGGATTTGATCTATTCCAGAACTAGTACACCTGATTCCACTTATTGTTAGTTGATGATTAGTTCACCAATTGAATCATGTTGCTACTCAAGGACATACGATATACCAAATGTGTAACGTATAAACAAATACATGACCTATTGAAAGGGCGGAACCCAAGTTAGATTTACCAATTTCAACGAATCTCTCGACCCGGCAGGTCATGGTGAACTCCTTGCGGTGTGCAGGGCCTGACTCCTGGGTCACGGTGTACTCTGGCAGACGCCAGCCTTTCTGAACAACCAGCTCCTTTCAGTGAAACACACAAAGTCATGTATCCATAAAGTGGGAGATTCATTTACCTTTCATTTTGCTTCACAATTAACGCCATTATCCTGTGTAAAGCAGGAGGGTTTGGGAAAAGCGGTTCGGAGACTGACTGACACAGTATACAATACATCTATAGCAGGGCTCTCCAACCCTGTTCCTGGAGAGCTACCCTCCTGTAGGTTTACGCTCCAAACCAAGAACGCTCTCCAGAAACAGGGTTGGAGCGTAAACCTACAGGAGGGTGGCTCTCCAGGAACAGGGTTGGAGGGTAAACCTACAGGAGGGTGGCTCTCCAGGAACAGGGTTGGAGCGTAAACCTACAGGAGGGTGGCTCTCCAGGAACAGGGTTGGAGCGTAAACCTACAGGAGGGTGGCTCTCCAGGAACAGGGTTGGAGCGTAAACCTACAGGAGGGTGGCTCTCCAGGAACAGGGTTGGAGCGTAAACCTACAGGAGGGTGGCTCTCCAGGAACAGGGTTGGAGCGTAAACCTACAGGAGGGTGGCTCTCCAGGAACAGGGTTGGAGCGTAAACCTACAGGAGGGTGGCTCTCCAGGAACAGGGTTGGAGCGTAAACCTACAGGAGGGTGGCTCTCCAGGAACAGGGTTGGAGCGTAAACCTACAGGAGGGTGGCTCTCCAGGAACAGGGTTGGAGCGTAAACCTACAGGAGTGTGGCTCTCCAGGAACAGGGTTGGAGCGTAAACCTACAGGAGGGTGGCTCTCCAGGAACAGGGTTGGAGCGTAAACCTACAGGAGGGTGGCTCTCCAGGAACAGGTTTGGAAAGCCCTGATCTATACGTACAGTGCATTCGGAAAGTACTCAGAACCCTTGACTTTTTCCACATTTTGTTACGTTACAGCCTTATTCTAAAATTGATTAAATAGTTTCCCCCCCCCCTCAATCTACACACAATAGCCCATAATGACAAAGTCAAAACAGGTTTCTGAATTTTTTGTACACTTATAAAAACAATAAACTGAAATATTACATTTACATAAGTATTCAGACCCTTTACTTAGTACTTTGTTGAAGCACCTTTGGCAGCGATTATAGCATCGAGTCTTCTTGGGTATGACACTACAAGCTTGGCACACCTGTATTTGGGGAGCGTAGCTGCACAGCTATTTTCAGGTCTCTCCAGTCGGGTTCAAGTCTGGGCTCTGGCTGGGCCACTCAAGGACATTCAGAGACTTGCCCTGAAACCACTCCTGCATTGTCTTGGCTGTGTGCTTACGGTCGTTGTCCTGTTGGAAGGGGAACCTTCACCCCAGTCTGAGGTCCTGAGCACTCTGGAGCAGGCTTTCATCAAGGATCTCTGTACTTTGCTCCGTTCATCTTTCCCTCAATCCTGACTAGTCTCCTAGTCCCTGCCACTGAAAAACATCCCCACAGCATGATGCTGCCACCAGCATGCTTCACCGTAGGGATGGTGTCAGGTTTCCTCCAGACGTGACGCTTGGCATTCAGGCCAAAGAGTTCAATCTTGGTTTCATCAGGCCAGAGAATCTTGTTTCTCATGGTCTGAGAGTCCTTTAGGTGCCTTTTGGCAAACTTTTGGCAAAATCAGGTTCTTGGTCACCTCCCTGACCAAGGCACTTCTCCTCCGATTGCTCAGTTTGGCCGGGCGGCCAGCTCTAGGAAGAGTCTTGGTGATTCCAAACTTCTTCCATTTAAGAATGATTGAGGCCACTGTTCTTGGGGACCTTCAATGCAGCAGACATTTTTTGGTACCCTTCCCCAGATCTGTGCCTCGACACAATCCTGTCTCGGAGCTCTACAGACAATTCCTTCGACCTCATGGCTTGGTTTTTGCTCTGACATGCACTGTCAACTGTGGGACCTTATATAGACAGGTGTGTGCCTTTCCAAATCATGTCCAATAAATTGAATTTACCACAGGTGGACTCCAATTAAGTTGTAGAAATATCAAGGATGATCAATGAAACAGGATGCACCTGAGCTCAATTTTGAGTCTCATAGCAAAGGGTCTGAATACTTATTTAAATTAGGTCTGTTTATTTTATTTTAAATACATTGCAAAAATTTCAAATAACCTGTTTTCGCTTTGTCATTACGGGGTATTGTGTGTAGATTAATGAATATTTATTTCCCATCCATTTTAGAATAAGACAAACTTAACAATGTGGAAAAAGTCAAGGGGTCTGAATACTTCCCGAATGCACTGTATACATATGTACACACATTAACAGCAATAAAGCTTATCGAGTTGAAAGGGGTTCAAAATGTAGTTCTCTGAGAGGACTGAGTCAGTCCGTGAATTAACTCAGAGTCCCAGGACGCATCTCACCTGCAGAGCTCCCACAGGGTTGCATTCTGACTGCTGAGACGTGCTGCTTCCTGAAGTCTTCATCTCTGACGGAGAGCTGGGGAGGAAAACAGCAGTGGGAAAGACCTTATTTACACCACAGACTGACCAAGAGCACACAGTCTATCACAATTATAAGATGGTTGGCAAGGAGGTTTTTGCAACTTTACCAAAAAAGGAGGCACTTGTCTACAGTGTTTTTGCGTACTGGCGTCCAATAGATACCCTCTCTACATTACTCTCACCACAGAAGAAGCCATTCGGGCCAAGTACCGCTGCACTCAACTACTCATTTTCTCTGGATTCAAACTTGTAGAAGCCACTCTCTCAATCCACTCACCTGTCCCCATCCACAGGCTCTTCCACCCCAGTAAATCCTTCTCCCAGCACCACTGGCCCCCCTAGTCCTGGTTTCATCATCTTCAGGGCAGCCTCTGCTGCCTTGTGTTTGGCAGCCTTTTTGCTGGGCCCCTGGCCGGTGCAGCTGATCTCTCCCACGGACACGCGGAAAGTAAAGTTGGGTTGGTGCGCCTGGCCCTCGGCCTTGAGCAGGTCGTACACTGGGGTGTTACCTGGAACAATAGGATTGGTAGTGTTGCAGCACGGACACTATTGAGTGTAACACTTGATCCTACCATAGAGATCATATTGAAATTACTAGGAGGGGCTATGTGAAACCCTCAAAGTTCCAGAATGGGGTGAAAATGGCAGACATATTGGCAGACACATTTTGAATTCAGGCTGTAACAAAATGTGGAATATGTCAAGGGGTATGAATACTTTCTGAAATACAGTTTATACAGGTTTTTATACCATTTCTGTATAAATAGCCTCAAATAAATGAAAACAGACCATAAATGTCTACATTTTTTGTTTTCTTGGAAAGCTGTGAGTGCTATTATATGATACAATATCAATGCCTGTTGCATTTACAACTTGTCTGTCCTATCTGCAAATGATTTCAGCCAGCGAATGGCTATGGATTGACTGCATCGTTTGAATAGAATGTTGTGGTTTACGCTCCAGTCACTAGCAACAGCGCAGAGTTAGCAAGCTAGCATAATGGCGGCACAATCCTCTCGCTGGTGCTACTGTAGTGTCCCTTTTTGTTCCAACAAACAAAACAAAAAAAACACACCCATACCTCAGCTTTCACAACTTCCCAAAGGATGTGACCAAGTGACAGCTGGGTGAGCGCAATTAGAAGAGATGAGGGCCCAGACTTCACTATTTTATGTGTTTGGAGCACCTTCGTCCATAGCCTGCATTTTAACCCGGCCAACATCTACTTAACGCCAAAAGGCCGTGCTCGCATTAAAGACGGGGACCGTTCCCTGTCGGTTCTCCTGGAACAACTGGGGGGGAAGATCCTACAGATCTTGGGTCTCTCCCTTTGATAGAGCAAGTGCGTGACTGGGAACCAACGTCCGGAAACAGGAGGTGGAGGTCTCAGCTAGTGTTGGTGCCTCTACACTGACTGCAGTGGCCCATGACTCTGCCTGTCCTCCTCTCCCTGGTGAGTAACACGTACTCAGGTTTTCCAGATGGTTGATGTGTTGTAGCTCAGCGTTTGTAGTTCTGTAAACAGTTGCTATTGTTCAGGTATTGCATTAGCTGCATGAAGCTTTTGGAATAGTAGGAAAGCTACTAACTGGCTAGCCAGGTTGCATGTCTCTTCTCCCACTCTGCTCGCCAACTTAAGCCCCTCTTAGATCCTTCAACCAACCTTTCTTAAACCAAATAGCACTACCATAACATACTTGATGGATTATTGAGTATGTCCTGAGACCTAGACTAAGTCAGAGTTGGTTTACGGTGTCATGATACTGACAAACTGAATAATAGTATACTGAACAAAAATATTTTTAAAAAAACGCAACATGTGAAGTATTTGGTCTCATGAGCTGAAATAAAAGATCCCAGAAATTTTCCAGACGCACAAAAAAAGCTAATCGCTCTCAAAATGTTGTGCACAAATTTGTTTACATCCCTGTCAGTGAGCATTTCTCCTTTGTCAATATAATTCAATCAACCTGACAGGTGTGGCATATCAAGAAGCTGATTAAACAGCATGGTCATTACACAGGTGCACCTTGTGCTGGGGACAAAAGGCCTCTAAAATATGTGCAGTTGTGTCACACAACACAATGCCAAAGATGTCCCAAGTTGAGGGAGCGTGCAATTGGCATGCTGACTGCAGGAATGTCCACAAGAGCTGTTGCCAGATAATTTAATATTAATTTCTCTACCATAAGCCGCCGCCAACATTGTTTTAGAGAATTTGGCAGTACGTCCAACCGGCCTCACAACCGCAGTCCACGTGTAACCACGCCAGCCCAGGACCTCCACATCCATATTAGTTCCTTATATGAACTGTAACTCAGTAAAATCTTTGAAATTGTTGCACTTATATTTTTGCAATATAAATGACCCCTTTCTTTTCTATAGTTGTGTTGGATGCTGCACTGGATGGAATCAAGGAACAAGAGCTACAAGTCCAACAGCTCTGTGTTCACCTCCAGCTCCAAAGATTCTGTGCATCCAATGAGGACTTCAGGTTCTATAGCCGGTTCCACTCGAAGATCTTCATGGTGTTCTGGGAGTCCATTGTCCCCCTCTGCCTCCAGGTTAATCTGCTGGTCCAAGGCCCAGAAGGCTGGAATGGGAAGTGCAACAACAAGCCCCAACAGGAAGCTGCCACTCATTGAGGAGTTCTTTCTTTACTGCTGTCGAGTAGCAGCTGGGCTGAAGGAGAAGGTGTTGGCGGACATCTTTGGCGTGAGTGTCCCTACAGTGAGACGCATTTTAACAACCTGGACCAACTACCCATATCTTGTCTTGGGCTCTGTGCCCTTTTGGATGTCCAGGGAGCAGTTCCAGGTGTACTGTCCAGAGGTACGAGTTATCCTGGACTGCACAGAGCTGTGCCTGATTGGGATTGCACCTTGGTGAGGCATCACCTTTGTATCCAAACTTTTCACTGGGTCCATCTCTGATCAGGAGATCACGAGTCTCTCTGGAATCCTCAAGCCTGGTGATGGATGCTTGGCAGACATGGGGTTCATCATAGAGAGGCTGCTGTCAGATTAGGGGCAACGCTCATCATTCCCCCATTCATTTACATTACATTTGTCATTTAGCAGACTCTCTTACCCAGAGCGACTTACAAATTGGTGCATTCACCTTATGATAGCCAGTGGGACAACCACTTTACAATTTTTTATATATTTCTTTCTATTTTTTTTTTTACATTTACATTTTAGTCATTTAGCAGACGCTCTTATCCAGAGCGACTTACATGAGCAATTAGGGTTAAGTGCCTTGCTCAAGGGCACATCGACAGATTTTTCACCTAGTTGGCTCGGGGATTAGAACCAGCGACCTTTCGGTTACTGGCACAACGCTCTTAACCACTAAGCTACCTGCCGCCCCAATTTAATAGAGCAACTCAGCTAACATGGAAGGACACGAGCGAATGCAAGCCATTGCACGTCTGAGTATGCTAGAGGAGAGTACCATATCTGGGACAAGATTATCCCACTCACGCTGGCAGGCTGTCAATCAACTGTGGACGAACTGCTGCTTATTGGTGAACTACCAGGGACCTCTGGATCTCAAGGGTGATCAGCCAGTGTGAAAACATGCTCAAGCATGGCAGTCTAGACACCACAAAATAATGAGTTTAGTTCAATTAATTAGGTCATGATATATAACAGCTTTATACCTGTGTACATCTGTTTTTTGTGATTATTATAAATTGATCTGTTCAGACAAGATATGAATTTGGGATAATATTTATATTGAATATGTACTGATAAATAGGTTTTAATGAATAAGATGGTGTTTTGGAATGTAGTGTTTGCATAATGCATCTGTTAAAGAGAGAACATGATTTTTTGTTGTTGGAAGATTTTATTCAATAAATACATTTGAATATTTATTCTGTGACATGTTAAGTCATAAAATAAATCACACAATTCAAAATCAGTAGAATAATTTACTCTATTTCAATGTTAATTACATTTAGTCATTTAGCAGACTCTTATCCAGAGCGACATACAGTAGTGAGTGCATACATTGATACTTTTACATACTGGTTCCCTGTGGGAATCGAAACCACAACCCTGGCGTTGCAAGTGCCATGCTCTACCAACTGAGCCACAAGGGATAGACAAAGATCACACAATTCATTCATTAAAATGAATTCCTCTACATACTATTTTGATTAGTTGTCTACACATCCCTGTAGGTGTAGAAGAGGTCTCATCTCTGCTATCAAAGCATCATCTCTCCAAACGCCCTCTACTGTAAGGTCGCACAAATCTAAACCCATTACAGCCCGTTGGCCCTGGACTTGCTAGTGATATGTGGCTGTTTTGGAGCTTGGCCTGGCCATTGACAAATTTAAAATGTGCTTCACATCAGTTACACTCAACATCAGGGCACTTGATCTCGGCTAGCCTGAAGGGTGGCGCAGCAGAAGGGTCATACACTTTCTCATCAGGCTTGCCACAAGATGGGGTGCATCTGGGCGCACAACGAAACCACAAGGTTTGACTGAGACGTCAAATCATTCAGAGTAGTTCTGTAGAACCTCTAGCTTAAGCGCAAGACCCCTTCACATAGCTTCGGTTTGCCGTTTACCTTTAAGCATTCTCATGACTAGGGCCTAGCTAGATGACTCCCCACCTACATGGCATGCCTCCCTAAACCGGCTAGCAGTCACACGTGGTTTCCTCATTTCCTTCCATAGTGGACAGGCAGACTGCTCGACTGTGCCCTTCTCAATAGCAGATCACAATGCTGGTGACACCTTTATGCTCTCCAAGTGGTAAAACTGAGCGCAAGTAGAGACAAAGTTTAAATTACTATGCAATTGACTTTCTTTTTACCAGGAGTTGGGGGAATGCAGGAGCATCTGGATGCTTTAGAATCTCTCTGGTGACAGTTGGGGGACACTGACATGACAGCACTGACCCGCGGGGAACTGGACCAAATCTAGATTCAACCAGAGTAATTTCTTCCAGTCCATGCAGAACCAGGATATGGTCAGCAGACAGCACCGTCATGTCAGGAAGGGGCCCTGAAACACATATAAAAAGAAGCATAGACAAGGGATGAGTGTCAGCCAAGATTGTAAACCTTTAGTCCAATAAATTTAAACACGAGTGAAGGCAACTTGTGAGCGTAATGGGAACATCCTGGGGATGCCAACTTGTTTAAAGACAATTGTAACTCACAGGGAATGCTTGGTAAAGAGTGGATTTTTTACCACTCCTCCCTGATGTCCTTGGCTTCCTCAGAACCATTTAATCCGTGGGCTCTGGTCAAATCCCCTGGTTAAAAAATAAAACCATAAAAAAGATTCAGGATGAATGTATAACGATGTGCAGTAATATGAGTTTACAAAAATGCAAAATGTGTGTTCTCTATGACAATCTCTCAATTTCAAAACTCCCCCGAGTCCTTGGCCTGTGCCACAACTGCAATATACCTGTGCAAGGCAATGGTGCTGGCACGTCTTCAACCCCATTGTGGTTTAATGTGCAGTCTGGAAGAGTAGAGCCATCAGATTGCACAAAACTCTCACAGCTGAACAGGATAAGCCGTTTACGATGAAAGGCTTCTCGGGCGCTTCTAATGTGATCTAAAAGAACAGGTGGGGGAGAAATCATTAGAGTTGTCATACAATGTTTTAGATCTGTGGCAGCAAGGTCATGATTCCTTCTCTTCAATTCTCTCATTAAAAACATACCTGACCAACTGTAATACAAGTTGACTACAACATTTTAATGTTATCCAGCTTCAGGCCTACTGCATGTCCAGGGACATGAGAACAGATACAACAGGGTTTGATTATTTTGAACATATGAACAAAACCACAGCTAAACTGCAACCACAACAACACTAAGCACTACACTGCCTGTTATATCTCGTAACCTGCAGTGAATAGGGCTCCTCATTCCTATGTAACACCTTGCCCTTACTACCATTGCCTCCTTCATGTCTGCCATGTTTGACACTGCGTATTCACAAGAACATAGCAAGACAGAATAATGTTAGGTGACAACATTCAATTGATGTATGCTAGTAAGTTACCATTGCTACTCTTAACGTTACTGAGATGGCTCCAGCTAGCTAGCAAGAAACAAATAATAGATTAGTGGCTGGCCAAATAGCTAGCTAACTTATTAAACGTTAACTAAGTCAGACAAATCGTAAATAACGTTTGCTAACTAATGTTAGCTAATCGGCCCCGTGTAGCTCAGTTGGTAGAGCATGGCGCATGCAACGCCAGGGTTGTGGGTTCGATTCCCACGGGGGGCCAGTATGAAAAAATGTATGCACTCACTAACTGTAAGTCGCTCTGGATAAGAGCGTCTGCTAAATGACTAAAATGTAAATGGTTAGCACTAACCAATTTGGTAACGTCTTAGCTACCGTTAGCTAGCTAGCTATCTCAACTGGTCACTTCAAGTACTAACTTACCTTGATAGTTGAAGATATTCTTCGTGGAAGAACTTGTATCCTTTATGAAGTTTAGATCTCTTCGTCTGGGAATGTTCGTGAACGATATTAGCCACATCACTAATGCCAAACGTTTGGCAAATTGAGCAGTGATTGGGTAAACTCAAACGTTTGAATTTCGCGGAAGACTACAAACAAAGTTGTCTGTTGGGGGCGTGAAAAATGCCTATTGACTCACTGCATCGTTTGAATGGAATGTTGGCATCTTGGCAGTTAATTTGAAAAAGCTATGGAATCATTCCTCTGAAACTGGCTGCCTAGCTAACAAACAGAGTGCAGATAAATTCTTCAAATTCATTATTTTACACAATATCTTATCACAGCACTGGCAAACCATGGCTGACCAACTCCCTCACCAAAATGTCTGACCTTTATCCCATCATAAGATGGGTCCTGCCCCATTCTAGTTTTCAAATTCCTAATTCTATGGCTACTACAGTATTAAATATACATTTGACTAGTGACCAGCACGTACCTGTATTGATGCAGTGTGTTAATTCTAATAAATAAGCAGATAAGCATCTTAAATAGTTTAAACCAGTCCATTCTGTATAGTTGTAAGGTAGCTAGCTAAGACAGAACAGAATGAAACCTTACCCAGACTCTGAGACAGAAGAGGAAGCATTCCTAGATCATCTCTGCCTTACCTAGCCGCGTTCCATACTCCTGTAGCAGACTGATGGGTGTCTTGCCGGGGTTCACAGCCAGCATTTGCTCAATACTGAGGATGAAAAGAGAGCGAGATTAAAAATGTGTCATTCAGCAGTTCAGAGGAATGATATGTTATGTCTCTCTCCAAGGAACTATGACATGACGTGATTGACAGGCAGGTAGACAGAGAGACACTTGTTGGCTAGCTGGGAGGTTTGTTAGCCAACAGCTGCTCGTTTATCTGGAGAAACCAGTGGCAATTTTGGAATGGCAGCTTCAGCCAATCAGCTCCTTTGTTGTTCAACGCCCATGCGACATAACACAATGGCTGCTATTGCTACTGCTAGCTAGCATGAGGACGAAAACGGCTGTTTACTTAAACTAACAGTCCTTCAATCTTCTTGGAGTAACTTTTGGGATACTGGGACAATTCAGAGTATGCATTTTTCACCTCTGGATTGAGGTACGTTTTCTGAGGTCGCACCGGCTCCGCAGTGTCTTAATATACACAGGAATGCTGTCCGACCCCAGTGTAGCTGTTAGCAAACGGGTCGGATCTGCTGGCTAGTTAGCTAACTAACTCAGCTAGTTTATTGAAAAAGAATTCTACAAAATGCAATTATTAAAATGCCTGACATTGAATGGTAAATTAATCTATCGGTTTACTTTGCTACATAACTAACAAGTTGTGCTTAGAGGACATTTAGCTAACTGACTAGCTAAGCTAGGTGAGATGCTGGACTGCCTAGTTAGCTACAGATGCTAGCTAGTCATCGCTACACGCTTACCTGGAGCACCCAGAGTTTTTCTTGCAACTGCCCGGTGTTGTCTCGTCGTTCATTCCCTATCGACAGAGATAAAGCCAAGGATTGCAAATCCCCCCCACAAATACAGACACTTGATTTCATGAGCTAGCTAATATTTTCCAAGTCGGTGGAGGCAGCGACATGTGAAGAGACACCTCGCTCTCCTTGTCCCACCAAAAAAAACAGCATCTGTTTGGCGAATTTTATGACGTCGTCAATGCGCACCGGGAATAATTTCAATCTCTACTGTTCATTGGTCCGCTAGAGATTGACGGTTCGCTCGTTTTACAAGGCGCCGTGTCCCGTTTCGGGGGTAATGCAATTTTACTCATATTACATTTACCTCAAGGGGGCAGCAGACTGGTTAAAACGTTTATTTTAATTTTAATGAACTTTACAGCCGAGGACGAGTGTTTTGCGGCCCCAGTCCTTCGGGGCCTCAGGGGCTCGTGGTTTCAACTCTGGCTCTCACTCCTCCTCCTCCTCATCCCACATCATGGAATGGAAGTGATGATGATTGAGTCAAAGAGACATCCTCGCTGACTGAGTGAACTAAAGAAAGGAAGGATATATTGTAACTTGTATTCAGTAAAACTAACCACCATATAAAAAAAGACACAATACAAGCCATAAGCTATCAGTCTTTCTCAGTCTTTCTCATGGTTGATTGAGTCAGTTGAGTCTAATGAGAACCCCTTTCACACCCTTTGAAACATGTAATTAAATACATTCTTCATTCTATCTCTTTTCTGATAAGATTAGGATATTATAGTGAACATGCGTTGGATCCTCTCGATACAGAAGGGTGCGTGCTCAGCCCACTCCTATCATCCCTGTTCACCCTTGACTGCGTGGCCACGCACGCCTCCAACTCAATCATCAAGTTTGCAGACGACACAACAGTGGTAGGCCTGATTACCAACAACGACGAGACAGCCTTCAGGGTGGAGGTGAGGGCCCTGGCGGAGTGGTGCCTGGAAAATAACCTCTTCCTCAACATCAACAAAACGAAGGAGCTGATTGTGGACTTCAGGAGACAGCAGAGGGAGCACGCCCCCATCCACATCGACGGGACCGCAGTGGAGAAGGTGAAAAGCTTTAAGTTCCTCGGCGTACACATCACTGACAATCTGAAATGGTCCACCCACACAGACATTGTGGTGAAGAAGGAGCAACAGCGCTTCTTCAAACTCAGGAGGCTGAAGAAATTCGTCTTGGCCCGTAAGACCCTCACAAACTTTTACAGATGCACCATTGAGAGCATCCTGTCGGGCTGTATCACCGCCTGGTACGTCAACTGCACCATCCGCAACCTCAGGGCTCTCCAGAGGGTGGTGCTGTCTGCCCAACGCATCACCAGGGGCACACTGCCTGCCCTCCAAGACATCTACAGCACCCGGTGTCACAGGAAGGCCAAGAAGATCATCAAGGACCTTAGCCACCGAGCCACGGCCTGTTCACCCGGCTATCATCCAGAAGGCGAGGTCAGTACAGGTGCATCAAAGCTGGGACCGAGAGACTGAAAAACAGCTTCTATCTCAAGGCCATCAGACTGTTAAATAGCCATCACTAGCTGGCCTCCACCCAGTTCCCTGCCCTGAACTTAGTCACTGTCACTAGCCCGGCTACCACCCGGTTACTCAACCCTGCACCTTAGAGGCTGCTGCCCTATTTACATAGACATGGAACACTGGTCACTTTAATAATGGAACACTAGTCACTTTATTAATGTTTACATACTGATTTATCCATTTCATAGGTATATACTGTATTCTGGTCAAGACCATCCTATTCAACTATTGCTGTATACTATTTTATCCTACGTATTCTTCAGATATACTACATATTCTATCCACATACTGTCCATAATGTCTATACATCCCATCATACATATTTATATATATACACTGAACAAAAATATAAACGCAACATGTAAAGCGCTGGTACATCACTGGGGCCAAGCTTCCTGCCATCCAGGACCTGTATACCAGGCTGTGTCAGAGGAAGGCCCTAAAAATGGTCAAAGACTCCAGCCACCCTAGTCATAGACTGTTCTCACTGCTACCGCACGGCAAGCGGTACCGGAGCGCCAAGTCTAGGTCCAAGAGGCTTCTAAACAGCTTCTACCCCCAAGCCATGAGACTCCTGAGCATCTAATCAAATGGCTACCCAGACTATTTGCATTGCCCCCCCCCCCCCCCCCCCCCCCCCTTTAACGCTGCTGCTACTCTCTGTTTATTATTTACGCATAGTCACTTTAATAACTCTACCTACATGTGCATATTACCTTGACTAACTGGTGCCCCCACACATTGACTCAGTATTGGTACCCCCTGTATATAGCCTCGCTATTGTTGTTTTGCTGCTGCTCTTTAATTACTTTTTTTTTTTTACTTTTTTTTTTTGGGTTTCTGGTATTTTTTCTTACATTTGCATTAGTTAAGGGCTTGTAAGTAAGCATTTCACTGTAAGGTCTACACCTGTTGTATTTGGCGCATGTGACAAATACAATTTGATTTGATTTGATTTGGTCCCATGTTTGAGCTGAAATAAAAGATCCCAGAAATTCTCCACACGCAGAAAAAGCTAATTTCACTAAAATGTTGTGCACAAATTTGTTTACATCCCTGTTAGTGAGCATTTTACCCTTTGTCAAGATAATCCATCCACCTGACAGGTGTGGCATATCAAGAAGCTGATTAAACAGCATGATCATTACACAGGTGCACCTTGTGCTGGGGACAACAAAAGGCCACTCTAAAATGTGTAGTTTTGTCACACAACACAATGCCACAGATGTCTCAAGTTTTGAGGGAGCGTGCAGTTGGCATGCTGACTGCAGGAATGTCCACCAGAGCTGTTGTCAGAGAATTTAATGTTAATTTCTCTACCATAAGCCGCCTCCAACATCGTTTTAGAGAATTTGGCAGTACGTCCAACTGGCCTCACAACCGCAGACCACATATAACCACACCAGCCCAGGACCTCCACATCCGACTTCTTCACCTGCGGGATCGCCAGAAGGGGGAGGGAGTATTTCTGTCTGTAATTTTGTAAGGAAACATTTATTCTGATTGGCTGGGCCTGGCTCCCCAGTGGGTCGCCCTGCCCAGTTTTGTGAAATCCATAGATTAGGGCCTAATTTATTTATTTCAATCGACTGATTTCCTTATATGAACTGTAACTCAGCAAAATCTTTGAAAATGTTGCATGTTGCATTTATATTTTTGTTCAGTATATATATACAGTACAAGTCAAAAGTTTGGACACACCTACTCATTCCAGGATTTTTAAAAATTTTTTAAACTATTTTCTACATTGTAGAATAATAGTGAAGATATCAAAACTGTGAAATAACACATACGGAATCATGTAGTAACCAAAAAAGTGTTAAACAAATCAAAATATATTTGAGATTTGAGATTCTTCAAAGTAGCCACCCTATGCCTTGATGACAGCTTTGCACACTCTTGGCATTCTCTCAACCAGCTTCATGAGGTAGTCACCTGGAATGCATTTCAATTAACAGGTGTGCCTCGTTAAAAATTAATTTGTGGAATTTCTTTCCTTCTTAATGCGTTTGAGCCAATCAGTTGTGTTGTGACAAGGTAGGGGTGGTATACAGAAATTAGCCCTATTTGGTAAAAGATCAAGTCCATATTATGGCAAGAACAGCTCAAATAAGGAATGGCAGTATATCATTACTTTAAGACATGAAGGTCAGTCAATTCGGAACATTTCAAGAACTTTGAAAGTTTATTCAAGTGCAGTCGCAAAAACCATCAAGCGCTATGATGAAACTGGCTCTCATGAGGACCGCCACAGGAAAGGAAGACCCAGAGTTACCTCTGCTGCAGAGGATAAGTTCATCAGAGTTAACTGCACCTCAGATTGCAGCCCAAATAAATGCTTCACAGAGTTCAAGTAACAGACACATCTCAACATCAACTGTTCAGAGGAGACTGCGTGAATCAGGCCTTCATGGTCGAATTGCTGCAAAGAAACCACTACTAAAGGACACCAATAAGAAGAAGAGACTTGCTTGGGCCAAGAAACACGAGCATTGGACATTAGACCGGTGGAAATCTGTCCTTTGGTCTGATGAGTCCAAATGTGAGATTTTTGGTTCCAACCGCCATGCCTTTGGGAGACGCATGAAGCATGGAGGAGGAGTTGTTATGGTGTGGGGGTGCTTTGCTGGTGACACTGTCAGTGATTTATTTAGAATTCAAGGCACACTTAACCAGCATGGCTACGACAGCATTCTGCAGCGATACGCCATCCCATCTGGTTTGCGCTTAGTGGGAGTATAATTTGATTTTCAACAGGACAATGACCCAACACACCTCCAGGCTGTGTAAGGGCTATTTGACCAAGGAGAGTGATGGATGCTGCATCAGATGACCTGGCCTCCACAATCCCCCGACCTGTCATCAAGGCAAAGGGTGGCTACTTTGAAGAATCTCAAATCTCAAATCTATTTTGATTTGTTTAACACATTTTTGGTTACTACATGATTCCATATGTGTTATTTCATAGTTTTGATATCTTCACTATTATTCTACAATGTAGAAAATAGTACAAATAAAGATAAACCCTGGAATGAGTAGGTGTGTCCAAACTTTTGACTGGTACTGTATATATATACTCCAGACTCCGACATTGCTCGTCCTAATATTTCTATATTTCTTAATTCCATTATTTTACTTTTAGATTTGTGTGTATTGTTGTGTATTGTTAGATATTACTGCACTGTTGGAGCTAGGAACACAAGCATTTCGCTACACCCGCAATAACATTTGCTAAATATGTGTATGCGACCAATAACATATGATTTGATTGATACTTTGTGTACAGCTGTACATGTGCCTAGGGTTTTTGCATTGGCTGTGTGTAGTTGTTATAACTGTAGTTGTATTTTTGAAGTGGGTTGTAGTACCGTTGGGTGTGTGTTATTATAAATATTTAGAGGGTAGGTTGTAATTTCTGGTCTGCCCCTGTATATAATCCCCTGCAGTAAAGTGGGGGGAGGGATGGATGTCATCAGCAGTGGTCTCCCATGGAGTAATAGGTGTGAGTGAGGATGTCACCACAGCCCAACCCAGCCCAGGCAGAGAGCACCACAGTCAGACGAGGGGGATGGAGGGGAGGGGGGAGGGGGAGGGGATGGCT